GAACCGCAACTTCCTCCTTTCTCCTAAGCCTCACTCTCCTCTCTTACTTCTTCTTCTTCTTCTTCTTCTTCTTCTTCTTCTTCTTCTTCCTCTTCTTCTTCCTCTTCTTCTTCCTCTTCTTCTTCCTCTTCTTCTTCCTCTTCTTCTTTTTGACAGAGTCTCACTCTGTCGCCCAGACTAGAGTGCAATGGCGCTATCTGGGCTCACTGCAACCTCTGCCTCCCTGGTTCAAGCCACTCTCCTGTCCCAGCCTCCCGAGTAGCTGGGACTACAGACATGTGCCACCATGCCAGGCTGATTTTTTGTACTTTTAGTAGAGATGAGGTTTCACCATGTTGGCCAGGCTGGTCTCGAACTCCTGACCTCAAGTGATCTGCCTGCCTCAGCCTCCCAAAATGCTGGGATTACAGGCATAAGCCACCACGTCTAGCCCAGAGTTTTCTGTAAGCATCAGAGAAGAGGGTAAAACAAATGACATGCAAACATACAATGTGCAAAAACATGCAATGTGACAACATACAAACATCCTCTCAATGATTACTTTGCTGTGTGACATAGATATTAAATTGTATGAGGAGTAATTTCCTTCTCTGTAAAGTGAGACTAGAAACCAATAAACATGTATTGTTACAGGGGAGGACCTGGACAGTGAAGCCACACCCCTTGTTGCAGAAGAAAGAGTTTCTTTTGGACTTCACATAGCCAGCTCCTCTATCACCAGTGTAGTGGACATCAGAAATGCTTACAATGAGGTGGACAGCCGTCTGATCGCCAGAGAAGTACATCTTCTAACTTCATTGCTAATCTTTGTTGGAATCTTGGTTTCATGGCTTGCTTTAGCTTTCAGTGCTTAAGTAGACACTATTTCATGTTTGCACATGTATAGATGGATACGCACATACATGTTTCCCACTTCATTTGTTAAAATATCCTATGCCTCCTCACCCACTGGCGTCCTCCAAGACTAAGCCTTTCACTTATAATTATTCAGAGAAGAAAAATCATAAATAAAAGAACAAGAACAAATGACAGGTTTTAAATACCTTTGCAGCATTGAAAACACTATTGAGCTTCCCTAGTCCTGGGTATTAATGACCCACTAACACTGAGATATTCTTTGAGTTGTTGTGATTTTTTTAATTTTAATTTTTTAATTTTTTTACAGATGGGATCTCTCTGTGTTGCCCAGGCTGGTCTTAAACTCCTGGGCTCAAGTGATCCTCCTGCTTCAGCCTCCTGAGTAGTTGGGATTACAGGTGTGAGTCATAGCACCCAGTATTGCTGTGATTAAAACAACAAACAAACAAAAAACAGTAAATTTTCAAAATAACAAGGAGATGTGTTTATAGATGGTGATGCCATTAAATTTACTTCCAAATTTTGCATAAAGAGCTCTTTTGCTTAGCACTGATGAAAACTTGCTGATTTGTTATATTCTCTTCACTCTCATGGACAGAGGGTACCCCCAGAGGATGGGGAGTCAGGAACTAGGTCCTGTTGATCATGAAAGTTGCGGCTTAGCAGCAACACACTGCTTTCTGATATAGGAGGCTAGGATTCCTATCTTCTTGCCCCTTTGACACCTGTAGAGATTGGGCTCCCAGAGCCTGAACAAACCTAGTCTGAGAAGGTGGCAGCCCTCACCTTGGTAGTGCTGTTCCATCTGAAAGTGTTCTTGGGTCCCTCTTGCTCTTCTTAGCACCTCAGTGTAAGCACGTGGGACACTGGTGGCTCAGACTGCATAACTGAAGCTGCTCACTTGAATTCAGTCACAGCCTGGGGGGCAGAATGCATGAACCTGAATTTTGGCTTCAATCCCCTGACATTGGTTCAATTGCTATTCATTCACTGATCATTGCTGATGGAGTGTCAGCACTGGGCCAGGCCCCAGAGGGCCTGCCCTCCAGGAGCTCGTGGACAACGCTTCTTCTTTTGCAGGAGTTTCTTAGGACTAATTGCTGCTCATTTCTCTAGATGAACATTTCATCCCGTGACAATGCCATGCCCATTTTCTTGCTGAGGAATTGTGCTGGCCACCTGTCCGGGTCTCTGCGGACCATTGGAGCTGTTGCTGTGGGTCAATTAGGTATGTTCAGCTGGGAAGCTTTGCTGCTATTTGGAAAGCAAGGTTTGTGCTGTCATGGCTTGTGCACCCTGGGGTTCTGGAGTGATGTGCAGGATGGAGTGTGCTGGAGAACCAGGATGGGAAGGACCAGAGTTGGGAGTGAATCCAGCAAGAGAGCCTCCCAGAAAGCATGAGGATCTGTTCACCTGGCCACATCTGACAATCAGTAGGGAGCTCAGCTACTAACCAGGCTGCTGTCTGTGACAGCAGGAACCTGTCTATCTAGTGAGCACAGTGGGGCTTTTGAGTAGAAGCACTGATTGTGGTTGTTTGAGTGAAAACTGCTGGTCACCATTCAGTTGAGCAATAGCAAGGCAACAAATTGGTGCAAATGCCCTGCCCAGCAGGATCTAGAGGACAGGCGAGAGCAATGGGTTGATAGAACAAAAGGGATACTGAGGCTCAGGGATCTGGCTCATCCAGCACTCTGGAGTGAAGGCAGAGGGTGGCAATCTGAAATACTCTGGGCTGTTCAGCCTTCTGATGACAAAGAAAGGACTTAGCACAGTACAGTATCTCCCAGCCACATAAGACTTTCAGAGCCTCCTGCTCTTCCTCCCAGCCTGTCCCAGGTGCACAGGCCCCCCTGGCTGTGGGTGGATGGTAGCACTGGTAGCTCATTGGTCCTCCTGTGCTGTTGAGGCATTTCCCATTGCAATGAAGCTGTGACATGTTGATGAAATGCCCACTTTATGTCACATAGGGGTGAGGGTGTTCCACTCCAGCCCTGCTGCCAGCAGCCTGGACTTCATTGGCGGGCCTGCCATCCTCCTGGGCCTCATCTCCTTAGCGACAGATGATCATACCATGTATGCGGCTGTGAAAGTTCTGCACTCAGTCCTGACCAGTAATGCCATGTGTGACTTCCTGATGCAACACATCTGTGGGTACCAGGTAATCCCATCCTCCCACCTGGGACTGAGACTCCCCAAAGTGCTGTCATCCCCAGGGAACAGGGACAAGCGTTGCTTGCCCCGGTAGCATTCCCTCCAGGGTGACTTCTAAAGAAGGGGAGCTGAAAGCCCTTGGGTTCTGAGACCAGCAACTTCGCAGCAGAGGAGGGGCAGGTGACAGTCACCCCAAGAACTCTGCTCAGGATGAGGATGCTCACCTGGCTGTGGCTTCTGACCCTTTTCACTGAAAAATTCCAGTGTCATTTGTGGCGGTCTCCCCACCTTGTCTCTAGCATGGTGGCTGAGAGCCCAGGCTGCAGAGCAGACTGTCAGAGTTTAACTCGCATCTCTTCTAATTTGCTGTTTAACCTTAGATGAGTTACTTATCCTCTGCCTGTTTCCCCACCTGTAAGATAAGGACTGTAATAGGGTTGCTGTGAGGATTAGATGATTTCACGCAAGTGAAGAGGTTAGAATTACATCAGGCCCAGAATAAGTGCTGAGTAAATATTAGTCATTTCCAGTTCTTAATCTCTTTGTGCGTCAGTTCCCTCATGTGTAAAGTGGGAATATGAGAGCACCTGTTTTGCAGGGTTGTGAGGACTGTGTTTATGTGTGTTGAGAGCTTAGAGGAGCACCTGCACAGGGGACCTGCTTTGCACATGTTTACTGTGATTGTCATTGCTACTTAGAATTGGTAAATTTAGATGAGACATGACCACTGCACTCAAGTAACTTCTCACATGGCTGGGAGGTGGCCAGGTGAAGAATTAGGAGGGCAGGGCCAGGGTCGGAGTCTGGGCCATGTCATGGGTCTCACAGGCAGTGGAGGCTTCCTCTGGTGTGGGGGCTGCTGGGTGATTGGGGCAAAGCCTCCTGTGTCTCTGGATACTGGGTCAGAGTTTGAGCAGAAGAAAGCTGTGTGATAGCCTTCCAGGCACTCACTGTCTCTGTCTGGACTACTGCCACAGCTGGACAGTAACCCCTTCCCCCAGCCAGTCCCTCGTAGCCCAGTGATGCCAGCTGTAGCCCCACATCACAGATCTGATGGTGCCCCTCCTGTGTGTAAAACCTGCAAAGGCATCTGATTGCCGATACCATATCCCAAACTCCTTAGACAGGTTTTCAAAGCCATTCAAAACTGGCCACGGACCTTTCCTTCCAGCCCCACCTCCAATCCAGCCAACATTTCAGTCCATGCTCTCACCTCCCCAAATCCTGTACCTTCTCTGATCATTAAACAGTGTATGACTTTGTGTGCCTGTGGCCTCTGCTCGGAGCACCTCTTTTTTTCTCCCTCAAGCGCTCTCCTTCTGTTTTTTCCAGATCAAGCTCAAATAGCAAAGGTAGCATTCTCTTCCCCCAAGTGAGGATGTGGCCATCTCCGGGTCCCCTTGGCACTGTGGGCACACCCCGTTTTAACTGCTCTCGCATGCACACTGGGATGATCGGTCTACACATCTCTACTGGAATCTTTCTAAAGATCCTAGTATTTTTTACTCTTTGCTGGTGTATTACTGACACCATGAAGACATAAAAATGCAATCGGTGTCCAAGATTCATATCAAGAACTACTAATCTTTGTGACTCACTGGCTACCTGGCTACCTTCCCAGAAACTCTGAGCTTCTTAGAAAGCTCAGACTGCCTCAGGCTCACTGTATTCTCATTTCCCAGTCCTGGGGATGGGGGGTGGGCACAGTGAGCTCTCAGTGAGGGTTCAGAAATGAGAACATCGTCTTGAGAGAAGGAACTACCCACCACAGAGGTACATAGCACTTGTTGTCACATGTAGGTAGAGGCGTCAAAAAGCATTTTGTTAAAAAAGAAGCTCATCATCAAGAGGTTCCCTGGAGACTGAGCTGGCTGAGCTTTCCAGGAAGAGATGGTAGAGACAAGGAGTGGCCCATGGATGGAATCTCTTTACTCAACTTAATTGATCAAAAGCTTCCTAAGACCAGGCACTCTGCCAGGCACTAGGGATGTGAGGTGAACAAGTTGGGTTTAGTCCCTGTCTTCATGGTACTTACTATCCAAGAAGGTGGACAGAAAAATACTGTTAGCATGAAGGAGAGTCTCTCAGATACCTCCTTTGAGTAAAGAACTCATCAGATTCAGAGGTTTATTGTACATTTACACATGAAGGCAGAAGAAGGAAATTTTAAAACTGTTATTCTGTCTTTAAAAAGGAAACATTTCAAATATTTATGTCTTTGGGGAAAATCAGAAGGAAAAGCTGGGTGGCAAGAGAGGTGATAAATGGCAGGTTTGAGTGAAGAAATCGTAATATTTTATTTTTGTTTTTTTAAACTTCCTTGCCCACTCTTTATAAAATATACCTCCATCCTCCCTCATCCTTTTCTAGGCACGTTTTCTTGCTTTGTGTTTCTTTGTAACCTGCATGTGCATTTGCATTATGTCTGCTTGTGTATCACCACGTTTGTGTCAGTTTCACTCCCAGACACATGCTTCATAAGGCGTGTGTCCTGCTTGTTTATTACTGTACCCTAAGAACATGCCATAGATAGTAGGTGCTCAGTTAGGATTTGGGAATGAATCAGTGAATGAAAACAAGGGTCTTCAATTAAGTGGCTTGCTCTTGCTCAGGAGTGGATTTCATCGGTTTTTAGGTTTTACTCTAGGCTCATCTGCTGGTTTATCAGTTGGGTGAGAGAGCATAAACCTTCCTATCTGTTATTTCTGTCAACCTGATTTATCAGCCTCTTCTCAGACTAAATAATAGCCAGCTGAGTTTGACAGGATGGATGTTCTTAATATGGGGAAGGAGGAGGATACTGTTCCAGACTAACATTAAAACACTCACAGGATCTGGTCTGGGTTCCTCCACAAGGCTAGGAGGAGAGCATGGTTGTGGAGCTGTGCATGGCATACCAAATGGAGGGTAGGGAGCCATAACCCTGCCACTGTGGGGATTGTAGGTTCTGCCTCACAGGTGATGGGCAATCGCAGGAAGGCTGGGACAGGGGAACGGACTGACCGAGGTGTTAGAACACCCCTTGGCATCAGTGGAGAAGATGAGGCATGGGAATGAGGTTCAAACAGGTGCTGAGATAGAGTCTGACATAATAGGAGCCTGTGTTCCTGACCTGGGAAGTCTCAGGATCTGTGAGCAGCCAGGGCAGGTGGCGCTGGAAAGGAGCCAGGGCGGTCCAGCAGGCTGCCGACAGGAAGGAAGGGAGATGCTGGGACATGCTCAATGGGAAATGTTTGTGAGACATTGAAGATGAAGTATCAAGTGGGAGAAAAGGCTCTGGAGCTCAGGGGCAGGCTGTGCTGGAGGGGTAAATATGAGGGTCATTGCCACAATGATGATATTTAATCTAAGGAAATTGATGAAATAGCCAAAAAGAAGCTGTAGAGAATAGGGTTGAAGGGGAAACAAAGAGGAGCTAACCACATAGAACTGGGAATGTAATTAAAATCCAGTAAAGGAGATTGAGAAGCAAGAGGAAAGAGAAACCAAAGACAGTTATGTCAAGGAATCTGAAAAAAGAATGTGTTTTGGGAAGGCGGGTATGGTCAAACCATGCTAAATGCTGGTAAAGAATAGCACAAACTAAGGATGAGGTGTCTTCTTTGGATTTGGCCACCTGAAAGTCCCTGGTGGCCTTTCTGAGGGAGGTGGCCAGGTGGAGGCAGTGGCTGGCTGATGTGGGTTGAAAAGAGAACGTGAGGTGAGGATATGAAGCCAGGGCGTGTTGATAATGCTTTCTAGAAGTTTGCCTATGAGCAAGAGGAGCTGCATAAGAGCTACAGGGATTAGGGATGGAGGAAGGGTTATTTTTACAATGACAAATACCAGAATATATTTGTACATAGGAGGAAGAGATCCAGGGTCGGGCAGTGGAATCTTGGAGAGAACAGTTATCTCAAAGAGCAGTGTCCTTGAGATGGTGACCAGTGGGATCCAGAGACCAGATAGATGGGAGACTCTGCTTGCGACAGGAAGGAATCCAACACATGTATTTGTGAATTTGGTGGTGGGAAGACAGAGTATTAGTATCTGATGGGTTCTGTCTTCTCAGGAAAGTATGAGGTCAGGTCGGGGAGAGGAAGAGAGGTTAGAGGAGAGAGGAGAAGCAATGAAACCATGATCTTTAGGATAAGAAAATACAGCTTATTAGAAAGACAGAGTTGGATCGCCAGACCCAACTGAGTGTCAGTTTGACATCTGACACTATTTGATGTAAAGTGAAGCCAGTCAGACTGAATGTTTTCTCATGCAACTTTTAGCCATCCCAATTATGTCTTGCTGTGGGATTTCATATATATTGAATAGTCTGGAAAGATATTGAGTCTTTTCTGATCATAAACAAGGCTTCCCAAGGGCACGTTGCAAGAACATGTCTGGGAGGACAGGGAGAGAGGGCGGGCTGTGTTGGAGCCATGGATGGGGAATGGAGCCATGGATGGAAGGAGCTGAGACTCCAGACGAGGTGACTCAAGACTCATCTGCCAATGGATGGCTGGGCAGACTGACTCGTGTGGAGGTGGAGTCAACAGAGATGTGAGGCTTGGTGGGACCCATCTTCTTAGTCTGAGATAAACTGGGTCACCAAATGTATGCTGGGACCCAAGTGCCTCCATGCTGAGATCGATGCTGCATGTTGCTGGCTTCCCAGGGGCTGGTGCAACTGCCTGGCACATCTGGCTGGGTGCAGCCAGGCTCATAGGCAGGTGGTAGCTTCCCGTAAATGCAGCATTTATGGGATGGTTATGCATGTAAAGGACCCAGTAACAGAAAATTAGAAGGAGGCTTGAGAAGTGTGGGAGGAAACCAGGAGAGGGTAGCATTCTGGAAACATGGAATAGATGCAGGGAAAAGTAAGGGCCCCAGTGAGAAGTCAGGTCACGGCACAGAAAAGTGGCCACAGAAGTTGATGCGTATTTTTCTTCTGAGAACATGGGAATGAAGGATGGTAGTAGCAGGGAGCAGAAGGTTGCAGACTGGACTGAAACAAGTCGGTGAAGGGGGAAGCTCTAATGATGCATTCATGAGGAAACTGCTTTGTGTTAACCTTTTCAGATAATGGCATTCCTCCTGAGGAAGAAAGCCTCTCTCCTGAACCATCGAATTTTTCAGCTGATCCTCTCAGTGGCTGGCACTGTGGAGCTGGGCTTCAGGTCATCTGCTATCACCAACACTGGTGTCTTCCAGCACATCCTCTGCAATTTCGAGGTAAATCAGAGATTGGCCCTTAGACCTTCAGGAGTGTGTGTGATGGTAAATATGCTAAGTCTGGGCTTTCCCTTAAATCCAGCACATCAGCTTCCCTCATAGTCATGATGGTAGGAAGAGGGAAAGCCAAACAAGCCTGCCCAGAGGCCCTAGTTTGTAATGACATCCTGCCACCTATGGACTGTGTGGCTTCGGACAAATCTTTTGACTTCTCTGAGCCCCACTCTTTTTCTTGGGTGAAGTGGAGACCTTCATTTCCTTGCAGGCTGTCGTGAGGGTTAAGCCAGATAGTATCTGGGAAAGGATTTTTAAACTGTAAATTAGCATATACATATGAGGGTAAAGAGAATGATCTCAGTTCCTTTGGGTGGTGTTTTGCTGTTTCCAAATGATTCTTGAAAGGGGTGAGTTGAGAGATGCAGAAGGAAACGCCTGAGGCTAACTGAGGAGCATCTCACAGAACTGCTTTGGGCGAATCAACCCATTCACAGAGCATCATTTACTGAGCACCCGCTGGGTCAGGTACTGGCCGTGTCCTGGAGACACAGTGAAAACTAGAACCCAGTCCTTCCCCACAGCCAGATATGCCTGGGACACAGCCAAGGTGACACTGAAAATGTTAGGTGCCACAGTGAGGCAGGCACAGGGCATCTGGTTAGTTGGAGTGAGCAGACAGTCAGAATTCAGGGGAAAAAAACCTTCCAGGTGGAGGGTATATGCTATTTGCAAACACTGTACATCAGAGTGAGAGCAGTCATGGAGACTTGAGAGCAAGTGGCTTGTTGGGGGCCTACAGGTTTGTGTTGGTTGCAAGAGCAGGAGAGACAGAAGGCAGGCCCGGGGGTTAGACTGCCCAGACTACGCTTTAGCCTGGGCATGTGGAGGTCCTCAAGAGAAGTTTCAAAATTCTTTCTTTGTTTATTAAAAAATTGATATATGTTTATTATAGAATATTTTTAAATTACAGAAAAGTGTGAGAGGGAAACTCCTGTTTCCAAGACCTAGTTAATTCTTGTCACACCTGGATGCATTCTCTTGTAGTATTTTCTATGCATAATACATTTTAAAAATCATAGTCATGATTATGCTGTAGGTGTTATTTTGAGTCTAATCTTTTCTTGTATACCAAAAACATTTAAACATTTTCATTATGAACACTTACAAGCACTGTTCTGAGATCAGAATAATATTCTGTTATGCTGGAGAGTTCCTGGTTTCTTCATCATTTCTCTGTAGTCAAATTTTTAGATTCTTTCTATATTTTGTTATAAACTGTGTTATACATGGCACTTTTGTGCAGATATTTCTCCCACTTTTAAAAACATTTTCTTAGAATAAATTATCAAAATTGAATAATGAGAATAAAGGAGTTATGAACAATTTTTAGATTGTTGATAAGTTTTACCAAACTTCTGATATCTAGGGATGTTAACTGTAGAATGACAGGTGAGAAGAGCCCTGAAGCAGGGAGATGGGTCATGAGATGATTGAAGAACTCCGGGTAGAAGATTTTGAAACCTAAACTGAGGCAAGGGTAGTGGGAAAATGAGGGCAGCAGGTGAAAAAGCCATAACTTGAACCAGAAGTGACTTAGAGCCAAATGACAAGGGAAATACTATGTACCAAAACACCACAGGGCTGCTACTGAAGGCAGGACAAGAGGGAGAGTGACAGTCATCAATGTATATATTATAAAAAGAGAATATTCTTTGTATAATATAGATCAAGATTCAATTCAACTTCTAACCTCTAACTTCAGATCAAGAAGTTAGAATGACCAAACAAAATCAAAACTCAAAGAAGGAAGGAAACATATAAATGAGAACATAAATTAATAAAATAGGAAGAAAAAACATACAAAGGATCAACAAGGACAATTAATGTTTCTCCTAAAACAGACAAACCTCTGTTAAGATTGGCCAAGAAAAGAAGACAGAAGGCACAAATGAATAATATTAGGAAGGAAAATGGGAGAATACCACAGAAGAATGAGCAATTAGAAAGGAAACAAGACAATTGGATTAGTAACTTTGTGCCAATAAATTAGAAAACTTAGCTTATTTGAGCAATCTCATCGAAAACAGAAGTTTTCAGAGCGCACTCTAAAATAAATAAAAAACCCCAATGATCCTAGAACCATCAAGTAAAGTGAGTCACTGGTTTAAAATCTGTTGAAACAAACAACAACCAGAAGGGAATGCCAGGCTGGGCACTCATAGGGAAATTCCACCAGTTGGGAAATAGGTTCTTTCTAGCTTCTTTAATGAACTAATCTTGATGGCAGAACACAAAAGGACAGTACAGAAAATGAAAAAGTACAGGCTAATCTTATTTGTAAATATAGGCATAAGAGCCCTAAATATAAGATTAGCCAGTTGAACCAGGCCAAGATAAATGTCCTGGTCCTGGATCTGAATCTGGAAAAGAGGATTGTGGAGGAAGCCAGCATGGCCTGGAGAATGGGCTCCCTGTACACAAGGGAAAAGGAGATGTATATAAACGGCCATAAAACCCCACTAAATAAGATAGTGTATCTTGACTGCAACTGTTGCTGCCCCTTCTGAAATGCTGTGGCCATGCTCAGGCAGTCTGGCTCCAAGACGTCCTGGCCACCAGCATGGCCCAGGAATTACCAATGCAGGAACCCATCATGCTCCATTGCCTGCTACTAGCATGGTCATGGACACCACCCTTCCCCACTCTACCCTGAATAAAACTACCCCCTTCAGGACCTGGTGCTTTTAAAGCTGGATTTAAGAAAACAAACCACCAATAATAACCAGATGCTAAAAAGCAAAGCAAAGTGAAACAAAATGAAATGAAACAAAATAAAATTTAAGGATTGAGAAGAGAGAATTTCAAAAAGGGAAAAATGTTTCCCAAATGTCATGTTCTGCCTACACCAAGTAAAGTGAGGTGAAGGATGTGTATTTGCCCATTGGAGGTCACTGATAGGCTTACTGGCAAGTTGTGGGGTCAGAAGCCACTCAGAAGTAAGGAGAAGCGGCCAGGCTTGGTGGCTGATGGCTGTAATCCCAGCATCGGGAGGCCGAGGCGGGTAGATCACCTGAGGTCAGGAGTTCGGGACCAGCCTGGCCAACATGGTGAAATGCTATCTCTACTAAAAACACAAAAATTAGCTGGGCGTGGTAGCGGACGCCTGTAATCCTGGCTACTCGGGAGGCAGAGGCAGGAGAATCACTTGAACCCATGAGGCGGAGGTTGCAGTGAGCCTAGGTCATGCCATTGCATTCCAGCCTGGGTGACAAGAGCAAGACTTCATTTCAAACACACAAACTAAAAAAGAAGTAAGGGGAAGTGTGGGGAGACTGAAAGTGGAGGCAGTCAGTGGATTTTGGAAAATAGCAGAGAGGAAGTTTCAGAACTTTTGGGTTTTTTTGTTTTTTTTTTTTTTTTTGAGACAGACTCTCACTCTGTTGCCAGACTGGAGTGCAGTGGCGCAATCTCGACTCACTGCAACTTTTGTCTCACGGGTTCAAGTGATTCTCTTGCCTCAACCTCCCGAGTAACTGGGACTACAGGCACGTGCCACCACGCCCAGCTAATTTTTGTATTTGTAGTAGAGATGGGGTTTCATCATGTTGGCCAGGATGGTCTTTATCTCTTGATCTCATGATCCACCTGCCTTGGCCTCCCAAAGCACTGGAATTACAGGTGTGAGCCACTGTGCCTAGCCGGTTTTGTGTTTTAAGATGGGAGAGACTTAAGTCTGTTTGTAGGTTGAAGGAAAACCAGACAGTTTAAATACTAGTGGGAGAAGAAACTGCTAATGAGACACATCCTCAGAGGAGACGAAGAGTTTGAAAACAAGAGAGTGGATCACAGGAGAAAGGGTGGGATCCATGATGACTGGTGTGAAGCAGACAGGAAGAGGAAGTTCTGAGGAAGGGAGAGACAGGAAGTCGTTGAGAAGGGAATTGACAGGAAGCTATGAGGGAGGCGGGTACAGGAGGTTGTTGAAGCAGGGAGGGGCAAAAATTTGTGAGGGAAGGAGGGACAGGAGGTTGTGAGGGAAGGAGGGACAGGAAGCTGTTGAGGCAGGGTTGGACAGGAAGTTGTAAGACAGAGTTGGATAGGAAGTTGTAAGGCAGGGTTGGACAGGAAGTTGAGAATCAGGGAGGAACAGGAAGTTGTGGGCTTCTAAGTCTTAGGTTTTGGTTTCTTTTCTTTTCTTTTCTTTTCTTTTCTTTTCTTTTCTTTTCTTTTCTTTTTTCTTTTCTTTTCTTTTCCTTTCTTTTCTTTCTTGAGATGGAGTCTCATTCTGTTGCCCAGGCTGGAGGGCAATGCTGCGATCTCAGCTCACTGCAACCTCTGACTCCCACGTTCAAGTAATTCTCCTGCCTCAGCCTCCTGAGTAGCTGGGATTACAGGCATGCGCCACCACACGTGGCTAATTTTTTTGTTTTTAGTAGAGATGGGATTTCACCATATTGGTCAGGCTTCTTGAACTCCTGACCTCAGGTGATCCACCCACCTCAATCTCCCAAAGTTCTGGGATTATAGGCATGAGTCACCATACCCAGCCTCTGGTTTCTTAAAGAGGGAACTGGCTAGTTCATTTCTGAGAGTACAGTCATCTCACGGGTGGGAAGAGAGCAACACCTGACACATTATCCACCTGATATTCAAACAAATCTAATCCAGACATCTTAATATAATCCTTAGTACAAGCTTATGTGACACAGAATAACAATCAAAAGATTCAATTATTCATGTTTCTCAAAATTCTGATATTTGGTTTTATGTAATTTCCTGATGAGCTAGGCAGCCTCAAATGGGTGTGGCAACTTATTATTGTTGCTGTGTTCTGGAATGGAAATGGGAGAGGCTGGAACTTTTGTGGGAAGCGTAAAGGATGCACCTTATTGTATTAGTGGGTTTGCATCTGACTTTCTTAGTTCTGTCAGCCCTTAGCCCCGGGCCTGGCATATCATTTGTTGAATGACTGCATTCACGAATCAATATCCTAAGTGTGCAGGGCTCTTGGAGCCCTTCAGACATTTTTGTTGGGGTGCCATGCTGGATACCCATGCTTTCACTAGAGCTGCCTTCATCAATACCAGTTATCCCAAATGGCAGCTGCCCAACCTCTGTGTGTGCCTTTGGGCAGTGGCTGTGCTTAAAAAAGCAGGAAATCTGTCACTCTTTTCCTGACTGAAGAACAATCCACCCATTTTACCTTGTTTTACTTTGTATCCACTCATTCTTTTAAAAAATTTAATGTATCTTTACAAAAGATAGTGGCATGTATGATGCTAGGCTCCAGGGATTAAAGAGGGATAGTCCCTACCTTCACAGGCCTCCTGATAAACTTGTGTTCACTGGGGTTCTTTTGCATTTCCTCTTCAGCAAGAGTAAGCAGTCATGGGCAATTGCTTAACTTTAAGCAAGGTTGAGTATTGACCCTATGGGTCACTATCTGTAGGTGATGCCCATGGGGACCCAGTGTGGAGGCAAGGGAATGGGCTTCGTGGTCAAGTGGATTGACTTTAAAAACAGTCTCTGGCAATTAAAAAAAGTCTGGTGCCAGAAAAGTTACATAGTCTCCCTGAGTCCCACTCTTTCTAGCTACTAGATGCAGATAATAGGCAGGGTACAGTGGCTCACACCTGTAATCCTAGCACTTTGGGAGGTAGAGGTGGGAGGAACACTTGAGCCCAAGAGTTAGAGACTAGCCTGGGCAATAAAACAACACCCCATCTCTACAAAAAATTTTTAACAACTAGCTAGGCATAGTGGTGCACACCTGTAGTACTAGCTACTTGCGAAGCTGAGGTGGGAGAATTGCTTGAGCCCAAGAGGTCAAAGCTGCAGTCAGTCATATTTGGGCCACTGCACTCCAGCTTGGGTCTCTCAAAAATAAATAAATAAATAAATAAATAAATAAATAAATACGGATAATAACATTTTGGGTCTTTTTATGGCACATCTTGCCACCAGGAAATGTATCAGTTGTTAAGTGCAAGCTCTTTTTGCTGCTATATGAGCACATGCTTATAATCCCACACCTGAACCTTGTATATTCTGAGCCTTAGGAAGTGTCAGTATTTAGAGAAGAAAACTATTAGAGTTCTCTAAAGGGATGTAGACATAAGACATGACGGCACCCATCAGTTCTGCCCCAGAAGGATCACCAGCAGCTACATTTGTTTACTATGAATGAAAACAACCTGAGTGATCCACTTCGCTTTCAGAATCTCAGTGAATTTCGTATCTGTGTGTCGCTTACAATTTTGTCATGCAGAAGATGACGCTGTGGTTTGGGCTGAAGAATGTGTTGCATGCACAAATTGACTATGTAGTCAATGCAGTGTAAAACCTGAAAATCTGTACCTGGCTTCTATTTCCAGTCCTGCCACTTGCTGGTGGTGAGTGGAGTCTGTCACTAAGCTGGTCTGTCTCAGCCTCTATTTTCTCCTCCGTAAAGTGGGAACATCATCATTTGTCTTGCAGGATCCAGGGAGGATGACATGAGTTTGCAATATGGACACTTGGGCTGTGGGCCCAAGGCTGAGCAGATGGGGCAGATGGTTAGTGCAGGTATCCTTGGTTGGAACCAGGCCCACAGTGAAGTGCCAAGTAGCAGCAGAGGTGGGGAGAGAAGGCCTTCCTTTAGGGGAGGTGCCTCTCTGCTTGGAGTGTCAGGAGAGCTGATCTGATTCCAGAGCTGGTACCTCATGTTGGTAATTCCAAGTCAGAGGATCACATGTCCAGCACTGATCTTCTCATGCTTCCTGCAAATCCTTCTCCCACACCTTCATTTTAGCATATGTTTTGATCTGTCTTCCAGCTTTGGATGAATACTGCAGACAATCTGGAGCTCAGCCTCTTTTCCCATCTTTTGGAAATCCTTCAATCACCAAGGTAGGCTGGGTCTTGGCACCCTGGGTGTTAGAACTGAAGGCTGAATATCCAGAACAGAGACAGAGAGGGCAGGGTGGCCAGTGGCTCTTCCCTGCTCCCAGAACACTGGGTCCCCAGCTGGGAGCACATGCTTCCCACTGGCTCATGTTTGTGGGGCAGTCTATTCTGATGGTCTTGGGCCTCAGGAGGGCAGGTGCTGGGGACTTAGAGGCCTCTCTAGCCCCAGGGACTAGCACATACTGGGGACTCAGCAAATGTGACCAGCGAAGGCTCACTCTCCCTCTAACTGACTTCTCCAAGGCACTTTTGGAATTGGTTAGGGTTCTTTTACCCTTCAAGTGGTAGAAATGCAACTCAAACAAGCTTAAGGAAGGTAAAAGAGGAAGAAAGAAGGAAAGGAGGAGGGAAAAAAGAATAGAGGAAGAAAAGACCAATAAAGAGGGAATTCATTGGCTCTTACAACTGAAAAGAGCTGATCTTATCCCATAGCTGGGTGAGGCTCGCATCCTTTTCTCTGAGCTCTGTTACCACACTTGCCCCTGCCTCTTCCACACAGTCTTCAGGTTGCCTAGGCTTTCTTCTGTGGCAGCAAAGTGGCTCCTGGGCAGCTCCTCAGAGCACGTCCTCAGCTTAGCACCATTGGCAGAGAGACAGCTTTTTAAACGTGTAATAGTCTAGCTATTGGACTGAGTCTCATTGAGCCAACTCGGGTCCCATGGGAACATGGCTTCCCCTCTGGAGTTAGAAAGTGGTAGTTCCCAAAGGGAGCCAGGGGCTGTGACCAGAATAAGGGAGAAGGAAGGCAAGGAAGTCCACGTATCACCCCACCTGCTTCCTCCTGGCTCAGGCTGGTACAGAGCTCATTGGTGCCTTCAGCATTTTGAATGTATTTGTAAATGGCTTTCCACTCAGCCAGTTAATGGACATCTATTATAAACTTACTACATTTCACACCCTATGCTTAGAGGTAAAATTTGGAGAAGAATAAGCCACAGTCTGATGAAAAGAGTACAGAAAAACATGCTGTTCAGTGCTGTCAGAGGAAACAGAACCAAAGGCAGCCGGGACTTCTGGGTAGAGGAGCATCTGTCTTCCTTGCTGAGTCCATGATTATAAATCACACACAGAACTGGGTTGGTCCTGCCTCTTTTGTGTTTCAGGGAAGTGGAGCTCAGCAGAATTTAATGTGTTAATACAAAAAAAAAAAGACAGTTCAAGGTGAGGAATCTGCCCAAAGTCACCCTCCGCCACATTTTTCTCCATCATTTTTTCTCTTCCACTTTCTTCCTATACCTGTACCAGTTGTTTTCTAAGAAACAGACATTTACCCTGGGACCTGTTTTCTTTGGGGGAGTAGAATTTACTGGAAATTGGATTTGTGAGTATCTGAGGGAGGGGGTATGGATAGGTGGATTCTTTCTTTTTCTCCTTTGACTTTCAGTGGTGTGTCTCTCCACTTTGTGGTTTGGGGCAGGCAGGAAGATCACACATCCAGACAAGCTAGTGAAGGGCCCTGCACTCCTGGCTGATGGGAAGTACTCCCTGGTCACATGAGTGTCTGCTGTCTTTGTTCTGAATTTCTAAGGCCAGCACTAGTTTTCCCTGGAGCTCAGATTTTAAAAGTCAATAATTGGGGTTTTTCTCTGAAGGTGGTTTCCGGGGGGCGAAGGGGACAGGCAGTGCACACGCGAGCGACTCTGGCACTTGGCAGACACATATTCGATAGGTGTCTGATGGCATCTTGACAAATTGCCCAGAGAGCATTGGAGTTAAGGGGCCATGGAACAAACCTGGCTTGAAAAACATTTTTAGCAGAAACACAGCAAATTTGGTTCATTCCAGTAAAAGCTTTTACTGTCTCTCTCCTGTACTCACCAGGGAAGGACCCAGGAATGCTGAAGCTGCCCACCAGGCACAGCTTATACCCAAGCTTGTCTTCCTATTCAATGAACCAAGCCTCATCCCCTCCAAGATCCCCACCATCATTGGCATCCTGGCCTGTCAGCTAAGGGGCCACTTCAGCACCCAGGACTTGCTCAGGTACCACACCAACCTGCCCGGGGGAAGAGCAGGGCCCCGGGGCTGTTTAAAAAGGGAGGACAGGCCCCAGCTCTCTCCCCATTGTGCTCAACCTTGCATCACTTGGAACCTTCTAGGAATTTTTGTTCAGGGCTGAGAGTTGGGGAAAGGATGGTTTGCTGAAGTCAGGATGGGACAGGCTCGTTTCCCCAGCAGGTCTGTGTGTTTACTGTCCCTACTTCTCAGACTCCCCCACTGCAGCCAAATATTCAGGAATTTCCATAAGCACTGCCGTCCTTGCCTGCTGATGACCCAAATGCCTGGCTCCTGCAGACTCCTGAAGGGCAGTCCCAGCCACCAGTGTGTTTCCCCTTCTCTTTCCTTGTCACTATCTGATTGATCTGGCAGAGCCAGAGTTAGCATCTCTGGTGAATCCTGACTGATTGTAGAAGTCTCTGGAAATACACAGCATGCCATGATGATTTCTCACTTGCAGCTGCATGTGGGTGGGTCTGGGTGAAAACACTGGCATATACTCAGCGGACTCAGGTGAGCCTGCCTGTGAGCCTGTCCTTCTCTCCCTGTGTGTAAAGGATTGGGCTGTTCGTTGTGTATACCCTCAAGCCTTCGTCAGTGAATGAGAGGCAGATCTGCGTTGACGGAGCCCTGGACCCTTCCCTGCCTGGTGAGAAGACCTTTGACCAGTTCGAAGGCAGTAGAACGGCCCTCACGGAACCCCTGAGAGGCCCACATTGTGCAGAGGGAGGGGTTAAGCAAGGAAGGGGAAGGCACCCACAGCCTGGCCGTGGTTCTCAAGCAGTGGCGTGTGAGGCTGTCATTTTATGATGAGAGTCAGAAATGAAATAAAATTATGGATTCCTGCTTTGAAATGTGGGACTGGTGTTCCAGGCCTCCAGAATAAAATCAGTTCCCTGTAGACCAGCACGTGGGATCCAGGATCCTGCCTCACTTCCTAGTTGAACCCCCACTAACCCTTACTTTCCTGATGAGCCCCAACTCCAGTACTGAAGCACTTGCAGGCCCCCCAGGTGACGGCCTGCCCTCTGTCTGTGCTTGGCACGTGCTCTTCACTCGAGGGAAATGCCACCCCTCCCCCACTAGCCTAGCTGTCCCCAGACTCACCAAACAAGATTAAGTCACTTTCTCTGTGTTTCCAAAGCCTCTTGGGGTTACCCTAGTGGACAGATTTGTAATTTGTTTATGTGAATCTCTCTTTTCGCCTAGCCAGATGTAGAACTGCAGCTGTGTCTTGTTCAACTTGTTCCCTCTGCTAGGGCAGTGCGATGGCAACAATCACGACCGCTTTGTCCTGGGCCCTGCAGCTCTGCACTGTCCAAGATGACAGCTCCTAAGCCACATATAGCCATTTAAATTCAAATTTTAATGAATTAAAATTAAATGCAATTAAAAACTTAATTCCTCACTCACTGTAGCCACATTCTAACTGCTCACTAGCTACCTGAGGCTAGTGGCTACTCTGTTGGACAAGGTAGATATAAAACAGTTTTATCATCACAGAAGAGTCTCCTGAATAGCATTATTTAATCTAGATAAATTATTATCTCTTATCCTTAGATCAAGCCGCAAGAAATTACTATTCCCATTTTGCAGACTAAGAAACTTAGGTTCAATGAGATTAGGAGCTAATTGAAGATGGGGCCAACATCTAAATAGAGAGAAATATGACTCCATTTCTCCAAGCTGCCTCATCAATTCTATTTCTGCAGCATGGGGCGTGTGCCCTGCATTGGTTGTGAAATTACTGGCAACCGAGGGAATGAACAAATGGATAATGGGCCAAGAGTGAACTTATGTAGTCAACCTTCCTTCTCATATGGACTGCATTCTGAAACTTTTACCTTACCAACATATTAAAACATTGTTAATATGTCCTTTCAGGCTTTAATGACTCTTCAGAAGTAAAGTTTCTTCTTCCCCTTGCTCCCTATACCTTTGCTATGATTTGAGTTCTGTTTTTACTGTAGCATAGACATCCAAAAGCCTAGCCTGGGAGCAAGTTGAAAGCAGGAACAAAGAGAACAAAGACCATGGTCTTCAGCACTCCGTTCTTGATTACTTGCATGATATCAGTGCATAGTAGGTGATTATGAAACGCTGCAGCCTGTGATAATTTAAAAAATTCTTCTACTGAAAGGTATATTTTCCCTTATTATTTTTAGGATTTTTGTTTTTTGGAGGATGTGCAGCATTGCAGACATCTCTAATTAAAGGAAACTTTAGTAACATTTTCTGAAATTCTTTTTAAGCATTGTGTGGAGGCTAGAATAAAATGCCAAAATTTTGAGTCCCAGCCATGCCACAATTCCTGGGTGAAATAAGCATTTGGTGAATAATGATTGCTTACTGCAGCAAATATTATGTCTCTTTACATCCGTTTTCTCTCAAATCTGAATTCCTTTTTGTAGCTGGAAGCCAAACATCTGGAAAGACAATCTGGCTCAGAAACCAGTTGCTGGAAATGCTGCTCAGTGTAATATCTTCCCCCCAACTTCATCTGCCCTCTGAGTAAGTAGCTCCAGAAAGAGCAATTTGGCAGGAGGTTGCCTCATAGAGGGTGTGGCATTAAACCTTTTCTTAATGAAAAGTTTAGCATCTCTGAGTCTGTTTTCTGCAATGTGTTTCCTGCACTAGTCAGAAAGAAAATTATATTCTCTCTACCCAATGAACCAGACCTTGCCCTAAGATATTCTGATGCAAATGTTAAGTGGACATGAGCAACTAGAAACAGATTTGGTATAATTACAATAAACTCCTTTTGTCACCATTGCTATAGTGTAATTGTTATTGTTTTGGCAGTTGTGACAATTACTGATTTTGATGTCCTGTACTTGGCAGACAATAGAGTGAAGAACTCGTGAGCCTAAATAACATCTATCGAGGAAAAGTCTTGCCAAATTCTTCTGCTATTTACTGTTAGTGAGTTTGTTATTTTTCCAAGTTGGAAAAAGAAGTATCTACCTTCAATTAACTTCTAAAATCATGTGTAATCATAAAGCTGATTCCATTAACTCTCCCCACTGCCTGCCTGCTTTACCTCCAACCTTGGAGTCATTCATTTGACACCTAATTTGTTGAACATCTACTGCATGCCAGACACTGTTCTGAGCTCCTAGGATGCAGTGCTGAGCAGGTCAGCCCGGATCCTTGCTCAGCCTAGTGTGTATGTGCATCTGGGGTTGGGGGTAAAGAGTTATCCCTCAGTAAAGCAGCTTTATAAATAGTGTTTAATAATTTACCAGCCTACAAGTCTTTTCTTTCTTAGAATCAAAACACAGTAGAACTGGAAGATGCCTTGGAAATGAGATAGTCCAGCCTCTTTCTTTTCCATCTTCTTGAAAGGGAATGTAGTGCAGTGCCTAACAGTTGGGCTCTGGCATCTATACCTTCTGGATTCGAATCCTAGCCCTGTCCCCAGGGACCCAGGGGAGGCTACTTAAGCTCTGTATGCCTCTCTCTACTCATCTGCATGACAATAAAAAATGTATTATGTTGGTGAAAATGTAATTGTGTTTTTTCCATTACTTTTAATGCCAAAAACCACCAATATTTTTGCATTGACCTAATACTTTCAATAGATGACTATAGTGAGGATGAAATGAATTAATATATAGATAATCCTGAGAACGGTGCCTGGAATACTGTAAATTCTCTGTAAACTAACTGCTATTATGGCCATCTTCTTCATCATCACCATCACCACCATCGCCACTACCATCATCACCATCATCACCACAACATTAATCACCACCACCACCACAACATTAATCACCACCACCACCAACATCATCACCACCATCAACATCAACACCACCATCATCAGCACCACCATCATCATCACCACTGTCACCACGACCACCATCAACATCATCACTACCATCATCAACATTATCACTGTCACTACCACTACCACTATCATCATCATCATCATCACCACCACCATCAACATCATCACCATCATCACATTAATCACTATCACCACCACCACCATCAACATCATCACCACCATCATCAACATCACCACCACCATCAGCAACATCATCACTGTCACCACCACCACCATCAACATCATCACCATTGCCACCACCATCACCACAACATTAATCACCATTACCACCACCACCATCAACATCATCACCACCATCATCAACATCACCACCACCATCAGCAACATCATCACTGTCACCACCACCACCATCAACATCATCACCATTGCCACCACCATCACCACAACATTAATCACCATTACCACCACCACCATCAACATCATCACCATCATAATCATCATAATCACTGAGGAAAATGATCAGAGCACATCAAGAGCTCTGCCAAAGTCATCTAGTTGCTAAACATCAGAGGCAGGGCTAGAAAAGAGGACAGTCTCTTCTCTTCACTCCTAGTCCAGTACTCATTTCAGTGGATACCAGCCAGATTCTCACTATGCCTAGTGTGTCAGCTGAGAACACAGGTGGAGCCTTCACTGGCTCCCAGAAGTCTGGGTCCTTCGCTGAGTCCATTGTCTTTGCTGGATTGGCCACCCATCTCCCTGCCCTCCTGTTTCATCCAGTTCCCATCAGCAAATCTGTATTCTCCAGACTCATCATTTTTGAAAGTGACAGTTAATCATGGGGTTTTATTGTGCTAAAACTGATAAAAAATGCACAAATATTGGACTATTCCATTTAGGTAAATTTTGACCAGTGTGTCTAAAAAGGGAGATGAATATTCATTATGTGTTTTATGTGACTACATTGATGGTAATTAAATTAGATGGGTGGCTAGTCATCTACTGTGTAAGTATGAATAGTAGTTATGTAGGGCTATTAAGGGGCATGCACATTTTTACATATATTAATACAGTTTCCAATTGCTTCAAAATGCAGTGGCCAACTTACACTGCAACCATTAATAGACAAATGCTTCACTTGCACAATAGTCTTGCCAGCATTTCATTTTACCATTCTTTTTAAATATAATAAATAATAAGTGATGTTAACCTTAACTTGCCTCTCCTTGGTGACTTGTAAGGCTGGACATTTCATATTTTCTGGACATGTCACTCGCTCATGGACTGAGAGATCATTGATTGCATTTATTAATCCCCCAGGTCAAAGGAAGAGATGTTTCTGAAACTGGGGCCCGACTGGTTCCTGCTGCTTCTCCAGGGCCACCTGCATGCCAGCACCACTGTGCTGGCATTGAAGCTGCTGCTGCACTTTCTGGCAAGCCCCTCCCTCCGCACACGGTTTAGAGATGGCCTGTGTGCAGGATCCTGGGTAGAACACAGCACTGAGGGCGTGGACATTGTAATGGGTGAGCATGTGGCTGTCACCAGGAAGTGGGGCACCACCTAGTCCTGGGATGTGTATGAGGACCAAGACAGGCCCCTTCTCATTTGAGACCATCACAGGTCTGTGCAGCAGGATCACCTTGAGCCCTGACTCCAAGGCCTACATCCAAATGAGCCCAGCCCCACTGACATCCTTTGCAGGATCCGCCACAGCCTCACTGCACAGACACTGGAGGCTGCCTTCATTCCTCCCACCTGCTTAGCCCTGTTCTCCTGGGCATTGTATACTCTACTTCCTCTTCCTGCGGGGATGCCTATTCTTCTGATGTGGATTCATCCTCAGATCTCAGTTCAAATGCCACTTCCTCCGGGAGATGAAGGGTCTCCCTGAATTGGGCACCTCTGTTATATGATCTCTGCCCTTATTATTTTTCTCTGTAGTGCTTAACAAAATTCATAAGTATTTGAGTATTTAATTGCTTAATGTCTGTTCCTGTCACTACAGTGCAAGCTTCATGAGTGCCTGGAATTCTGTATATTTGGTTGAAACCCTACACGCTTGTTGCCTAATTCAAAGCTGCCCTGTTGCCTCCTACATGGTGGGCAGCAAGTATGTTTTTGAGTGAGTGAATGAGCATGTCAGGAACAGGGAAGGGAATTACTGTTGAACGCTTTCTTGCTCACATCTGTGTGTGAATATATTTTATCATCCAGCATTTCTATGGGATGGGTGGGTGGCCAGGTGTTCCCTTGTGTATCCAGGCCACACCTTGACCAGCAGCTGTTCTCAGCTGACTTTTGTGCCCCGTTTGCCTAATCAATAGACAACCTGAAGAGCCACCCGCTACTGCCTGAGCAGAGCCCGTGCCTGCTTCCTGGGTTCCGTGTCCTGAATGACTTTCTGGCCCACCACGTCCACATTCCAGAGGTCTACCTCATCGTGTCCACCTTCTTCTTGCAGACGCCACTCACAGAGCTGACGGACGGGCCCAAAGTAGGTGTTCAGAGCACCCACGGAGTGACACACTTGGTTTTCTGATTCCACAAGACTAAGGCCGGTCGCCAAGACCCTCTGCACTTACCTCCCTCTGCTTCTTCCAGCTCAGATGGGGTGCTGGCCTGCTTCCCTCCCTAGCAGCCCACACCCTTGTGCAGCCCTTCAAATGCTCTCCTTCCAGGCCCTTGACTTCCTCGGCCTCTGCTCCCATCCTTCCTCCCAGCAAGCCTCTGATTTGGATTAGTTCTATTTTAAAACCTTCCTTTTGGGCACAGCTAGGGGAATGACATGATGCTGGGGTGGCCCTGCCCCAGCACCCCAGCCCCTGATCCTCAACCACCCACTTAGGTCATCACCTTCTTGCCCCTGTTGCTAGGACAGGGAGACTTTTCAAGGCTGGTCATGGATTCCTTCAGCTTCTTCCTTGGGTGACCTCACCCCATAGTTTCCCTTCCTTCCTTCCTTCCTTCCTTCCTTCCTTCCTTCCTTCCTCCTCCTTCCTTCGTTCCCTTCCTTCCTTTTTTTTTTGTTTTTTGAGACAGAGTCTCACTGTGTCACCTTGGGAAAGCGCAGTGGTGTGATCTCGGTTCACTGCAACCTCTGCCTTCTGGATTCAAGCGATTCTCTTGTCTCAGCTTCCCAAGTAGCTGGGATTACAGGCACCCACCACCTTGCCTGGTAAATTTTTGTGTTTTTAGTAGAGATGTAGTTTTGCCAAGTTGGCCAGGCTGGTCTCAAACTCCTGACCTCAGGTGATCCACCCACCTTGGCCTCCCAAAGAGCTGGGATTACAGGTGTGAGCCATCGCACCCGGCCCCCTTTCTTCCTTTTGTATTTTCAGTTTTTCCTTTTCTATCAATCCGTTCCTCATAAGCCATAATTATGCTCAGCTGCATCCCACCTAAAACCAGAGGCTGCCCCTTGATAACACTCCTGACCAACTGCTGCCTATTGGTCACTTTCCTGTCCTTCCTTGGCCACATTTCTCCAAAGAGGACTCTGTACTCACTGTATGCACCTTCTCCCTTGCACTAAATTCAGGTGACTTTCACACCTGCAGCATCAGGGTCAGACTTCATAGCTGGCACCAAGCTCCCTCATCTCTGACTGCCTGATGTAGCTTTCCAACCCAGCTGCAATTCACCTGCCCTCAGCTGTGACTCTCCTAAATCATCTCCAGTAAGACCAGCTGCTCTGTGCTCACCCGCACTGCTGCCCTTACTCACTCCTCTTTCCCACCATCGTCTGCCTGGGGAGAGTGTCCTCCCTTAGCACTCAGCTTAGATGCTACTTCCTACTTAGACCCCCAGAGAGAGGAGACCATTTCCTCCTTTGTGCCTCAGTGTAGTTTACCCTATATGGGTGGCACCAACACAAATGTGTGCCTGCCTTCTTAGAAACTGAGCCCCTAAAGAGCGGGCCCACCTTTCACTCAACTTCCTGGAACCTGACAAATAGCCAACTTGGAAACTGTTTCTTGGTCTTAATTGAGTTGAGTTGAACTGAACTGAATTGAAATATGGGAGGGGCGTGGCTTTGCAAAGAGCAGGTTAAAAAATCTACTCCTTTTGAATATCTTTATAGTTGACAAATCTAAATCTTGACATATGCTAATGGCATTGTAGATTACACTTCAAAATAAAGTTTTTAATATGCTTTACTAAGGTCATTGAGACCCTGAGTTTTTATTTCACTAACATATCTCAGGAAACAGATGTCTGCTAAGTGTTGGAACCTGTGATAGATGTTTTACATATTTTATTTTGCTTGATATTTAAACAATCCCATGGGGTAGATAATGTAATTCTCATTTCACAGAGAAGGAAACTGAACTGCCAAGAAGCTCAATAGCTTGCCTGAGCTCAGCTATTAAAAAGTCAGAGTCAGGCCATCCTGATTCTAAACCCCAGGTTTAGAATCTCTCTAAACCTCTACATGCCGAAGTTTACCCTGAAACCTTTGAATTCTTTATACATCTTATATAATCTAATTTATAAAAGTTAATTAAAGTTGATTAGCATGTTGACTTATGATGTCAGACCAAAATAACTGAACTAGATGCCAGTCTCTAGGAGGTCTTCAGCACTTTCTTAGAGGTGCTTTTTCCCTTATGCACCATCTAGTGGGGTGAAATTATTCCTGTGGATCAACCACCTAGGCTACTACTGTGCTCTTTTGCTTTTCCCACTGGGGACCCCCCTGGAAACATGTGAACTGGCTGCAAAGCTGGTTCTCTTGGTGAGTAGCAGTAGGTCTGCTTACAGCCCCTGCCTCCTCTTCCAGGACAGCCTTGATGCCATGCTTCAGTGGCTCCTGCAGAGGCACCACCAGGAAGAAGTCCTCCAGGCTGGGCTGTGCACAGAAGGTGCCTTGCTGCTCCTGGAAATGCTGAAAGCCACCATGAGCCAGGTGAGACCCATTCCCCACATGCTGTCCCAAGGAGGTTCTGATGGGAAGACCAGTTTGGAAGGGTCACCTTGACTTTTCTCCTACCATCTTCCCACTAATGCCAGTAATTAGCTAGATCCTGTAGAAGAGGTGAGGTAGGTTCCTAGAGGTGACTCAGGGGCACAACTGGAAACCCAGCCTATAGGTCTCTGAGCTTTATGTGCTCTTGCAGGTGATACCTGTTTATCATTTGTTTAAGCATTGGGGTTCTTCACTGGGAGATTTATTGCCTTCAGTCAAAGGGAACATTTCTTAGCAGGAGGAGGGGCCTCTCCTCTCAGTGAGTCCATCTCCTTGCTCATGAGTGACCTGGGGAAGGGACCTGACTTAGTGAAGGCAGATGGCCGCCAGTTGCAGGCAGGGCATGGAGAGGCTTCTGGAGTGAGAAGCTTTTAATTTGAGCCTTCAAGGTCCAGTAGAGGTGGGTGGTGAGCAGAAGAGTTATTTTAGACATGGGGTAGAGGCCATGTGACTTGTGAACAGGAATAATTAATGGTGAGCCAGGTCAGGAAGGGTTTCCAGAAGAGGTGGAAAAATTCTGACCTCATCCTGTAGGCACCAAAGGCAATTGGAGGCTTAATTGTATGGGGAAACTTACTGCTTTTGTAAAATGATACATGATTACCTTTAACATTTAAACAAAAGGGAAAAACAGAAAGTAAACAAAAGGGAAAAACAGAAAGTAAACAACACCCACCTGACATACGTCCACCCAAAAATGAGCACTGTGAATTTGGTGGAATCTTTCCAGACGCTTCTCCAAGATTCAACCATATCCTCACAGAGGATGAGACCACATGCAACCCTTTTGCCTTTTTTCCTCAGTATTTGTGGACCTCTTCTCAGGCAAATAAAATAAAAAATAATGGAGATCATTTGTATTTGTAATAGAAATTTATGTTGTTTTACAGAGTGTTGTTCGTAATGAACTTGCTTAAACAAATATCTTTCTTTCTATCTTGATGACCTCCTTAGTGTGTATTCTGGGATGTGGTATAGCAGGTCAAAATGTGCCTTCATGCATTTTCTTTTGGATGTGCTTCTCAGAAAGATTGAATTAGTCATTATGCACACACATCCCACCAGTGAATATCTAACTCATCTTGTACAGAAGGCTCAGCCCCATCCTCACAGCCTCAACATCATGGCCAAACTGATGATGGCTTCATAGTTGAGTTCTTTTGCATTTATTATTAGTGAGGTTGAAACCATTTTTCATATGTTTATTAGTTATCTTTATTTATTTTCCTCTCTCTCTATTTTGCTGTCAATTGCCTGATTATGTCTTTTGCCAGTTTTTCTGGGTGTGTGGGATTATGCTGAAAAAGTAGAGATCCCACTTTTTGCCCTTTTTGAAACAAGTTTTTTTTTCTTTTTTGAGACAGGGTGTTGCTCTGTTGCCCAGGCTGGAGTGCAGTGGTGTGATTTCAGCTCACTGTAGCCTCCGCTTCTCAGGCTCAAATGATCCTCCCACTTCAGCCACCCGAGTAGCGGAGACCACAGGTGTGAACCACCATGCCCAGCTAATTTTTGTATTTTTGTAGAGACGGGATTTCATCATGTTGTCCAGGCTCAGAAGTGTTTTTATTGCTATTATTAGATACCCTTTTAGTACACAATTCAATCATCCTATGCTTTTTTTTTCTTGTAGCCAGTTTCCTATGATGAATTACATCAATAGATTTCTTTGCATTCTTGTGAAGACCTCATTTAGTCACTCTGTCTTTATTCTGTTTGTATTTTCTTTCTTTTTTTTTTGACGGAGTCTCGCTGTCGCTTTGACTGGAGTGCAGTGGCACTATCTTGGCTCACTGCAACCTCTGCCTCCTGGGTTCAAATGATTCTCCTGCCTCAGCCTCCTGAGTAGCTGGGATTACAGGCGTGCACCACCACCACACCTGGCTAATTTTTGTACTTTTAGTAGAGACAAGGTTTCACCCTGTTGGTCAGGCTGGTCTTGAACTCCTGACCTCGTGATCCACCCACCTCAGCCTCCCAAAGTGCTGGGATTACAGGCGTGAGCCACCATGCCTAGCCTCTGTTTGTATTTTCTTTATGATTTCATGCATCCTTATAAATGATATCAGCCTGCAGTTTACTTTTTGTTATATATTTTTCAGGTTTTTACATCAGTATTATGCTAATATTATATAAAAAAGACTTCTTTCTTTGTATTCAGCGAGATGTTAAATCCATGATTTTTGTCTTATTTTAATTGTTCCTATGAAATTGCCTGGACCTAAATTTGTCCCATTATTATTGGCTTGTTTAGGCTTTTAAATGTCTTCTTGACCTAGTTTAGTTAACTGATATTTTAAAATAATTTCCCATTCATTTAATTTGCACAAATGGTCTCCTATAACTCATGTCATTTTCTGTGTGATTGTTTCTCCCTTCGTATTCTCAGTTTGTGTCCTGCTCTCTCCTTCTCGGCCTCTCTTGTGACTTAGGAGTTGAAGGCTTGTGGACTTAAATAAATAACCAGCTCTTGGGTACATTTATCAGTCTCCTGATTTTATTTCTGTCAATTTCTAAGATTTTGATTTTGGCATCTTCATTTTTTGTTATGTTCTGGAATTTCTGTGATTGCAATTTTAAAGATCTATTTGATTCACATTTGTTAATGTCCATGTGGTAGAGATTTTTGGGTTGTAAACTTTTGTTCTCTATTTCTAATTATGTTTTTGCCCTGCTGAGATCATGTGATCTGTATATTTTTCATCTTTGAGAAATTTATTCATGGTTTTATTGTAGGCCTAATGAGCAATTAATTTAGGAGTGTCTGAAAAGATGTATATTTTCTGTATGGAGCATAAGGAATCTGTTACCTATTTAATCAAGTAATGTTATTCAAAATAAAGTAAACAAAAGGAATCACATGCAAGCATTTAAAACAAAGAAAATATGTAATATGCTGAGAGAAGTAAAGATATAAGACCAAACATGTACATCTTAACAGCAAACATAAAAAGGTTAAATTTCTATATTAAAGATGTGAATTTTAGACTTGGTGAAAAACAAGACTCAGCCTTCTAGGATCTAACATGTATGTATAAACAGCAATAACAAAGTTACTTAGTGAATTTGGTACAATCAAGATCTGTGTCAGGAAAGCATCATCTACCCAATACAGTAGACAAGTATCAAAAATAAAACGCAGGAACTTAAAAGATAAGAGAAAAAGGCTAGAGGTAAACATAGAACCTACTTCAGAGGGTTGTTGCGGGTGTGAGAAGAGGCATATGTATGAAGCCCTTACAACATCTGCACATTTTAAACCCTTCCACAATTAACGTTAGTGTCTGGTGCTGATCTGAAGTCTTAATGTGTCTTGTTGAAAGTCTCAGGAAGGAGTCTTCTCCCTAGACCTCAGCTCCTCTGGTTAGGGAGGCAGCCCCCATCATGCTGCCCTGCACCACCTCTCACCAAGTGTGCCTCAGCCCCTGGCAGGTTCTGAGGATGGTGCCTGGGCACAGACGTTCCCAACCAGCGTGCTGCAGTTCCTCAGCCTCGTGCACCGCACCTACCCCCAGGACTCGGCGTGGCGAGCCCCGGAGTTCCTCCAGACCTTGGCCATAGCCACCTTCCCCCTGGGAGCCCAAAAGGTAGGACATGTTGCTGCCCTACCCAGAGAGAGCAGGTGTAAGCATCATTATCCTTCAAGGGCAAAGGGCAAAATCCCTCCCCACCCCCCTAAAATTAAAATACATTTTAAGGCAACTTGAGGGGAACATTGAATAAGCAGCTTGGGTAATCTTCCTTTTTTGGGTGAGATACACCTCGAGGTCATTTTCAGCTCTGAGATTCAATACTTCTTTTGAGCTGTTAAGAATCTCAGTAACGAGAAGTCTAATGGCAGATAAAGTCCATTCTCTGTGCCATACACAGGCACTGACAAGGGGAGACAGTGAATCTCATTCCAGGAAGCCTGCTACTGTGCACCATATGGGGGAGGGCAGTCCTGGGAGGGCATCCTGCAAGAACTTTTGCTCTCGGGACCCTCGTCCCACTTGCAGTCCCCTGGGCCATGACTTGTGTGCCCTTCTAGGCAGTGGGTTTGCAGAGGCCCAACTTAGAGCCAGGCAAGTCAAGGGGAGGGCAGAGCCTGATTTAAGGATGAAGTCTTGAGTCTTATGCTCTGGTGGTTAGAGAAGGAGCTATGGGAAGACATGTGAGTTTGGGGCCTCCAGCTAGGCCCAGCAGGTCAAGGGTTGGCTGAGTCAGGGCCATGTGGGACTCAGGTAAGCTAAGAGCTCCTGGGAGCTGAGAGGCGAGAAGCAGGTGAGGACTAAAGAAGGAGGTCAGGTATGGAAGAAGGAAGGGCAGAAATTCACACAACCACCTCCACTCTGGTGGATTAGGAAGTGGAGACCCAGTGAGGGCAAGCAAGCTAACTGTGTCTTCCTGCAAGTTGCCAACTGTAGCTAAAGGAGCATATTTGAAAGGTGAACAATGCTACATAGGGGAGTTTATAATCCATGTCAAGTGCAATGCCGGGCCTGGAGTGGTTGCTCCATAAACATTTGCTAAATGCCCAAATGAATGAGCAACATGCTCTCTTAGCTAACCTTTTCCAGAAGCATACCCATGGCGACAGCCTCCATCTCCTGAAACTGGTGCTTTAGAGAACCTGAACTGCCACCTGATGAAGGTGGTGTCTGAGAGGGAAAGCTGAGATTCAGAGAGGCAAAGCAGTGCTCACCAGTTTCCTCCAGGCTTACTGAGGGTCACAAAACTCATCTCCCAGATTGACTGGAAGAGTGAAATGTACTGAACATCATGCGATTAACAAGTGACAGAGCCAGGGTTTAAATCTCACTCTTACCCTAAAGCCTTGTCCTTTTCATTACAGTCAGTTTAAAATAAAATTAAATGGCCAAATAAATCTTAAAAGTAATTGGTTTTAATAAAAAGACTAAATATAAAGACCAGAAGTTTCATAAAAAGATAACATAATTTTGAAATAGTTTTATGAGTGTATATCAAGTAACTTACTAAAAAGTAAGATAAAAAACAAAGCAAATAGTAGTGAAGGAACGCAGCGCTGGTTGTAGGAGAGAGGGGGATAGGACCCGCAGCCAGAGGTGCAGGCAGCCTGACCAGGGAGAGAGCAAGGGCGAGCCTACAGGCTGCCCCTTGACACTTCCCTGGGCGGGTTTTCTGCAGGGGTCCAGAGACCTAACATTCTCTATGCAGATACCCAGCTCAGCCCCCATGCCCAAGGGTCAGGCTCGCCATCTGCTGAGTTGGGGTTCCAGCCGAGTGCCCCCGCCAGCAGCCCAGGTGCATACTCTGACCCAGGGCTCCTGCTCCCCATGGTCAGCAGTTCCTGCCCAGGGGAGGGTCTGGCCCAGAGTCACACCCCCAGCTGACCGCAGGCGAGGTCAGGCTTTTGCCTTGGGGCTTCTGGCTCTAATTCCAAGGTGCACCTCCCAGCCATCTTTGCCTTTTGCAGCTCCAAGTCAGCTCTGCCAAGGCTTTTGTTGTATAGAAAACATACCAGACCCTCTTCATGCAGAAGGCTGGTGGCCAAAGGCTTGGATTTGCTGTGAATTTATATGGCATCTTTCCAATCAAGGCCGCACGGAGCTAATTAATGCAGTCACTACCTCCCTAGGTGCCATTAAATTCATTTTATGGCTTAATTAAGAATGGCCGCATTAATTTTATGAATGAGCAAAGGGAGGTGCTAACAGATGAATGCGCAGGAGAAGTTCATGGGCTGGGAGTCAGGAGTCCCTGGCTGCGTGTCCTTGGGCGTGTCATTTGGCCTCCAGCATCTTTGTGTCCTCCTGGACGTATCTGGGGGTAATGACCCCTGTCTTACTGATCTCCCAACATTTTATAAATATAAAACAAAGGAGTGGATGCCAAAGCACTTCAGGAATTAGAGGAAAGAACTCTTTGTAGTCCCACTTCTCCACCGTTCTTGCCTGGGGAGCCTGTCTGTGGGCATCAGCAGAGACTGGGCAGGAAGTAGAGGTGAGCTCCCCATCACAAGATGGGCACTGACTCTCTCTGACTGTCTACCAGGGGCTGGGCATTGCCATGTTCGTTATTCTCTCATGCCATTCTCCCAGATCCGGTGTCAGATGGTTTTTATTGTCTCTATTTAACCGATGGGGAGCTGTGACTTGGAGATGTGAAGCAGCTTGCTCCTGGCACATTCCGGAGTTCATCATGAACACTGCAGGCCTCTCTGACTCTATGGTTTAGCTTGTTTGCACAACACTTGGCATCTCATGTTCTCAAACTGCAGCAGGCCACCTTATGAGCAGCTGGACCCTGGGCAAATCGCTTTCCTGTGCAGAGCCTCAATTTCCATACATGTCACTGGGCATGACAATAATCCTGCCATGCACATGGCACAGGTTGGTGGGAAAGAGCTTGAGGCAGGGCAGGCCACTCATGTTGGGGTTCTCTTGTCTTTGAGGGGGCTGGGACTGAGTCCACCCGGAACACCAGCAGTCCTGAGGCTGCAGCTGAAGGCGACAGCACAGTGGAGGGTCTCCAGGCTCCCACCGAGACACATCCCGCCCGGAGGCAGCTAAGGGAGTTCACGCAGCTCCTCTTGAGGGAGCTTCTGCTTGGAGCCCCCAGCCCCAAGCAGTGGCTGCCCCTGGAGGTGCTCTTGGAGGTGGGTTGGAAAAGGTGACGTTGGGCTCTGTGCTGTGGAGGCTGCTGGGATACAGGCACTGCAAGGGCAGGATGCACCCAGGGAGACAGAGGGCCTGGGGGCCACAGCGAGTGAAGGGGAATCTGTGAACCATGGGCCCCAAAAGAGCAACAGGTGATAGAGGAGTGAGCGCAGGGTCCCTAGAAGCAGAGCCAGAGGTGGAAGTTTTGTGTAAGTGAGTTATTGGCCAGTGGGTTGGAGGGGGTGTTCTCAGGAGAAGCGGGGAGAGAGACAGAGGGGCAGGAGGTGAAGCTAGCCCATTGGTGGTCCCAGCTGGAGCCTGGCCCAACGGGAGTTCTGGGTTGCTCTCTGCCTCTCAGGGCTGGCCCCACCTGCAGCACCTGACAGGTAGCCATGGGCTATGGGCTCCCCCGACTTGCCTCCTTACCCTCGGAAATGGGCGTTGCTTCCTGGACGAGGCAGCCTGGTCACAGAGGGTGGTCCCCCAGAGAAGGGGCAATTGTAAGCAGCCCACACTGGTGGCAGATGTGGCCTAAATGCCCCAGCCAGGCTAGGGAGGCGGTGGGCAGTGGGTGGACACGATGGCCCTGTGGTTGTTGTCTCAGTCCCGGGCTGTGCTTCCAGGCTTCTCCAGACCACGCCACCAGCCAACAGAAGCGAGACTTCCAGTCCAAGATCCTGCTTTCTGCTATGGAAATATTCCACATGACAAGTAGAGGTGACGCAGCGATGCTCAGAGGTGAGTGGGGCAACTGGTCCTCCCCATTCATGACATGAGGCTGCTGACAGCGGAGGGGAAACCAGCATGCTGGCCGGGAGCTGACCCTAGCTGTGGGATGCTGCCTCCCCCTGGCATCAGTCCCTCCAGGCATCATCAACAATAACTCCCTGGCTCCTGTCTTGGGGCGCAGTGGAGGGGTACTTGCTACTTTCCATGACACCCTTGTCCATGCCACTTACAGACAGAAAGCCCTCTTGTCCTCTGAGCAAAAATTGGCTCTCCTATAGCCTCAGTAGAAATGCAGCCTCTTCCCATAATGGAAGCCAAGATATCGGAATTTAACCTTCTGTGCTCAGCATCCTGCCTGGGTACAGGATAGGAGCACAGTTGATGTTTCTTAAACAATGAACCTGGATGAAGACGCTGCCATGCCCCTTCAGAGCTTAAAATTGAAGTTTCATTAAAAAAACTTGATTCCAGGACAGCTGTACCTTTTCGACAAGCCTAAACAAAAGCCTTTTCTGTGGTTCCCAAGCCACAGGAATCCCTAGGAACATGAGTTCTCCTCTGGACTTCTCCTTGCCTCCCACTCAGAAGCCCTGACTTCATGATCTTTCTCATGGAGAGACTGGAATGCAGGAGAGTAGCAGGGTGGTGAATTGTGGTTTTGGCAACCCCAGTTCTGGACTTGGCTCTGCCACTGGACAGTCATGCGACTCTAGTCAGGTGTCTGGACCCGTGAGTGAGGACGACAGTCGTGGTGAACTCACAGGGTTGTGCTAGGGGTTAGCTAAGATCATCACACACATGGCTGAGCACAGTGCCTGCTGTGTTGGTGAGCATAAACGGATATTGACAGTATGGCTTTATCCTCTGCCCAGTGTAGCAGCAGGGCCCCTGGTCATCATGATGCCTGCTCATTTGTCTCAGGCAGCACATTCTTCCCCATCCTCCTCCAAAAAGCCACAGGAAGAAATGCTTGCCCTTGCTTGCTTTCTCACCACTTGGTTTATGTCACTGACCAGATTACTCAAGATCTGTTCACTTTGATTAAATGTGTGTGTGTTGGGCACCTCCTCAGTACAAGACTCCATCTTTGGAGCCATGGGGTAAACGGAGGTAAATAAGATGCAGTTGGTCACCACAAGGGGCTTGGAGACTGTCATGGAGAGAAGTCCATTTAGACTCTCACCTCCACCTGTCCCCTCACTCCACAGACAGCAAAGAGCCTCAGCCAAGTGCAGAAGCTGCTGCTGCCCCTTCACTTGCCAACATCTCCTGCTTCACCCAGAAGCTGGTGGAGAAGCTGTACAGCGGGATGTTCTCAGCAGACCCCAGGCATATCCTCCTCTTCATCCTGGAGCACATCATGGTGGTAAGAGCTGTTCACTGACCAGGTGTCCATGTGGATCTGAATGATGTGCTCCTGGCTGTTGTCCAGTTGGTCCCACTGGATCTGCCCTCCCTCCCTGGAGTAGAATCTGAGCCAGGTGGGAGGAAGTGGGAGGCCCTTTAGGCCCAGGTAGTACCTGGAGACTACTGCAAGTCCTGCAGGGTTCTTACCTCAGGCCACCTGAGCCCAGTCCCAGGGATTGGAAGCCTCAGCTCCCTGCACTTGCACCTGAGCTCTGTAAAATCCTAAAACCTGCTTCCTTCCCTTTGCGTTTGTATTGGGATTGTTGGTTCGACCTTAATTGTTGTTATTCCTCCTCAACTAAGAAAGGGTCACAAAGGCCTTTGTCTCCGCAAGACCTATTTTATTTTCTTCCTTAGTACTAACTCTGTCTGTTGTATTTGTGCCTTCCTGCAGTGGAGACAGGCATCTATTTTAACCTTGTCTTTTTATTCTTGCCTGTGCCCCCTTTTTTTTTTCCAGATAAACAGGTATAACTACATACCTACCTGTACAAATGCATGCCTATAGGGCCACTATTGAATGTAGGTGTGTGTATGTGCACGCATATACACACAGAGAGAATTGTACAATCTCAAAATTCTAGCATCAAAAGAGACCATTTTTTTTAGATCTCAGCCCCATTACAAGCTGGAGACTTCCTGACAAGCCTCCATACAACCTTTGCTCAAACCCTCCCTGTGATGGGGAACCCACTAAAGTTCAAGTTGTCCCACCCAGGGGGACGTCTGTGATTCTTAGAAAGAACTTTCTCTTATCAAGCTGGGATCTACCTCCAGCAGCTCCTGCCAGCAGTCCTGGGTATGCTCTCTGCAGCAGAACTAGGAGGACTACTCTCCTTCCTCTTCACATCTCATAGAGACTGATATTGGCTCCCAGCACCCTTCTGACTGCAGAGTCACCCACAGACCCCAGGACTGGGCCTCTGCACAGTTTCTAGAGTCATCTTCACTTGTCTGATGAGCAGGTCCAGGTAAACCTGGAAAGACTTGAATTCAAAGGCTTCTTAAGGAACAACTCCAAGAGAGGAGAAATAGCCCTGCCCTTGTCAGCTCTGTGAGGGTTAAAATCAGATTCCTGGCAAGTTGTGTTGTAAATGGAAAGAAGTTGCTGAGCTCCCTATGGCTAAAGCATGGACTCCCAGCTAGTATTCCAAACATAGGTTCCAGTGGGGGCCATGGTGCCTTCAGGGGGACCGGGCCCGAGGGCTCAGCTCCCCACATATCCACCGGCCTCCTCTCCTGCTGGCTGTCTGTGATGTCTGCCCCTCTTAACCTCAGTTCGAGACCCATCTGAGGAGCAGGAGAGGACCATGATAAAGAAATGAATCCCAAACCCCAACAGGTTTACACAGACCTTCACTTCATGAGTAGAAACATTGCGTTACCCGTGAAATTCTAAGGGAGTAGCCTATAACAAATACATTTTCTATCGGACTGAAAAACTTTGTGCATACTCTTTGTGTTATAGATGCTTTTCATGGAAGCCAAACAAATGTTTGGAGATGTATGGACTAGTCCATGCTAAGGCTACAAATCAGGGTCTTCTGCTTCTCCCTCTAAGTTTCCTTTGAACTAAAATCTTCTGGACTCCATCTCCAGTAGATGATATGATGGTTAAGAGCATGGCTCAAGTGTCCAGTGTATGTTTGACCCTTGCTGAACCACCCAGCCTCTCTGACCCTTAGCTTCTTATCCCTACAGTGGGGTAACTTAGCATCTATGGTGTTTTTATGACAAACAGGCAGTATGTGCAAATCTATGCAAAATGCTTAGCATAATACCTGGAATACTGTAAGAATTCTATGATAACTATTAATAATGACACATGACTATTTTTTAAATTAGATACTACTAATAGCATGTTCTCATACATTGAATGTCAATCTTGTTACCAGTGTTTCAGAAATCTTGGGTCACCAAATCTATTTTCTGTAATATGACTACAACAAACTTTCAACCTTTTTTAATACAACTTTTCACCTACATTCTGCATAGCCTTGATTGATCATTTCCTTAAATAAACACCTGAAAGTAGAAGAAACTAGTCCTATTTGAATTTCAGGTCGTGTCATTTTTTTTTTTAAGAGACAAGGTCCTGCCCTGTCATCCAGGTCGGAGTGCAGTGGCAGGATCCTAGTTCTCCTCAGCCTCGAAATCCTGGGCTCAAACAATCCTCCCCTCTCAGCCTCCTGAGTAGCTAGGACTATAGACATGTACTACCTTGCCTGGATAAAATTTTTTTTTAACTTTTTGGAAAGATAGGGTCTTACTATGTTGCTGCCCAGGCTGGTCTTGAACACCTGTCCTCAAGAGATCTTCTTATCTTGGCCTCCTAAAGTACTAGCAGTACAGATGTGAGCCACCATACCCAGCCATGTCACTTTTATTTTTATTTCAAGTTCCAGGGTACATTGCAGAATGTGCAGGTGTGTTACATAGGTAAATGTGTGCTATGGTGGTTTGCTACACCTATCAACCCATCACCTAGGTATTAAGCCCAGCATGAATTAGCTATTTTTCCTAATACTCTCCCTCTCCCCACCCCACCCACTGACAGGCCCCCGTGTGTGTTGTTCCTCTCCCTGTGTCCATGTGTTCTCATTGTTCAGCTCACACTTACAAGTAAGAACATGTGGTATTTAGTTTTTTGTTCTTGCGTTAGTTTGCTGAGGATAATGGCTTCCATCTCCATCTATGTCCCTTCTAAGGACATGAGCTCATTCGTTTTTATGGCTCATAGTATCCCATGGTATATATGTACCATATTTTCTTTATCCAGTCTATCATTGATGGACATTTGGGTTGATTCCATGTCTTTGCTATTGTGAATAGTGCTGCAAGGAACATACGTGTGCATGTATCTTTGTAGCATAATAATTTATATTCCTTTGGATATATACCAGTAATGGGATTGCTGGGTCAAATGGTGTTTCTAGTTCTAGATCTTTAAGGAGCCACCACACTGCCTTCCATGATGGTTGAACAAATTTACGTTCCCAACAGCGTAAAAGTGTTCCTATTGCTCTGCAACTTCACCCCATCTGTTGTTTCTTGACTTTTTAATAATTGCCATTCTGACTGGCATGAGATAGTATCCCATTGTGGTTTTGATTTGCATTTCTCTAATGATGAGTGATGTTGCATTTTTTTTTCATGTATTTTTTGGCCACAAGAATGTCTTCTTTGGAGAAGTGTCTGTTCATGTCCTTTGCCCATTTATTAATGGGGTTGTTTGTTTTTTTCTTATAAAATTGTTAATTTCCTTGCAGATTCTATATATTAGACCTTTGACATATGGATAGATTGCAAAAATTTTCTCCCACTCTATAGATTGCCTGTTTGCTCTGATGATAGTTTATTTTATTGTGCAGAAGCTCTTTAGTTTAACTAGATCTCATTGTGAATTTTTGCTTTTGTTGCAACTGCTTTTGACTTCGTCATGAAATCTTTGCCCGTGCCTATGTCCTGAATGGTGTTGCCTAGATTTTCTTCTAGAAGTTTTATAGTTTTGGGTTTTACATTTAAGTCTTTAATCCATCTTGAGTTAATTTTCATGTAAGGTATAAGGAAGGGGTCCAGTTTCAATTTTCTGCATATGTCTAGCCAGTTCTCCCAGCACCATTTATTAAATAGGGAATTCTTTCCCCATTGCTTGTTTTTGTCAGGTTTGTCAAAGATCAGATGGTTGTAGACATGTGGTCTTGTTTCTGAGTTCTCTATTCTGTTCTATTGGTCTATGTGTCTGTTTTTGTACCAGTTCTGTACAAAAACAGTACACTGTTTGGTTACTGCAGCCTTGTAGTATACTTTGACGTCAGGTAGCGTGAGGCCTCCAGCTTTGTTCTTTTTGCTTTGGATTGTCTTGGCTATATGAGCTCTTTTTTGGCTCCATATGAATTTTAAAATCGTTTCTTCTAATTCTGTGAAGCATATCAATGGTAGCTGAATGGGAATAGCATTGAATCTATAAATTACTTTGGGCAATAAGCCATGTCACTTTTTGATTATATTATTTTTGTGGTAAACTGGATCTGTAACTAAAATTGCAAAGCACTCACAAGTATGTGTATGTGTGTGTTTTTTTTTTAATGACACAGGTCATTGAGACTGCCTCTTCTCAAAGGGACACTGTCCTCAGCACTTTATACAGCAGTTTAAATAAAGTCATTCTTTATTGCCTATCCAAGCCCCAGCAGTCCCTCTCTGAATGCCTCAGCCTTCTCAGCATCCTGGGCTTTCTGCAGGAGCACTGGGATGTTGTCTTGGCCACCTACAATTCCAACGTCAGCTTCCTCCTGTGTCTCATGCATTGCCTTTTGCTACTCAATGAGAGAAGGTAAGAGCTGCCCACTTGTTTCCTTGCCTGCTGGTGGTCCATGCAGAAAGGAGAGATTTAGAGGGAAGCTTGATTGAGGACTGAGGTCTGTATAAATGATATCATCCTTTTGTTTATCTGGTCTTCCATATTTTGTGAAATGTTTGATAACATGGTAAGTAATCCCCAAACTTGTCCATGTGACAGCAGCTAGAATCATCATGAAATAATAATTTACCCTATTTCTACAATTCTAAGATTGTAAGGTACCTCATTGATTTAATTTTTGAGGCAGAAAATGCCAACATTAGATGTACACATTGATTTTATGATGTAGCCAGATTCTAGAAACATTATCATTTGATAATTGCAATCTTAGAATGCAAAAATATAATGTATTGTGCAATGCAGGAATAATTTTGCTTTCAGGAAAAAAATTACATATGCATACAATATATGACACAAAATGACATCCATAAAAATGCTAGTTAAAAAGCTATTAAATTAAACTTATTTAAGTCCTTTTCTTGAAGCCCAAGTTTGGAAATACATCAGATTTCCAAAACTGAATGTAGTTCATGCACACTGACACAGAGAGAGAGACGGAAAGTGAACATACTTCCCATCTCTCTCTCTCTCTCTGTGTCAGCGTGCATGAACCACATTCTCCAGCATCTCAGCATCCTGCTGCCTGTGAATATGATGTCTTGTGAATATGATGTCTTATGACTAGAGCTTGAGAGTGTAGAGGGAGAGAGGACTATGGGATGTCACACTTCACTCTTGTCCTTTTCCTTCATTATAGTCATCCTAACAAAAATTATGTTTGATCACTTAAAAAAAAAAACAGTCCTCCATGTCCTGTAGTGCTGACCACTGAACAGTACAAAGCACTAGCATTGACTTCTCATAAAACTCTCTGGGAAGCCTTGGGGAACCCTCCTAGCCCAGAGGAGGCACTTGTGTTTGAATGAAAGAAAATAATCCATTTTCAGTATGTGGTTTAATTTGGGGAGGTTTTTCTTTTTCTTTCTTTTTCTTTTTCTTTTTTTCTTCCTGTTTCAGGAGTTAGGCCTCATCCATCCTGGAAGCATAGGTAAAGAGGAGCAGAATGACAACTGAATTATGTGCTTGAGATGATACCTTCCTTAGTTCCCTCTGTTTAGCAAGATTGACTTTATTCTAGAAATTTCAAAAATGGGCATTCTCATATGTCAGGTTATTTTCCTTTCCATGTTTGTCATTTTCAGTTCAATCCATGAACATTTACTGAGTGTCTATTTGGTTTGTGTCATAATGGCCACGTGGACATTAACACAATGGGGACCCCCAGAGCACATGGTTCATGGGAAACCTAATGTATAAACCACTGTGTCCCCACTTAGAACTGGCTACATCATATGTGAGGCCTCCAGCAAAATTAAAATGCGAGGCTTGTGTCCAAAAATACCCAAAATTTCAAGATGATGACAGCAGAGCCCCAAAAAGGGTTCTTCTTAGTGCAGGGCCCTGTGTAATTGCACAGGTTGCACGCCCATGAAGCCAACCCTGGCCCCACTCCAGGCAGGATGAAATCAATGCCAAACAAAGGCAGGGTTTAATGCTTTGGGAATGCACTGAAAGAAATGACTAGTTCTGATGGTGGGGAACCAGGAGCAGGCAGAGGGGGCCTGCTGGCAGCACAGGTGGGATTTCACAAGATTTCTCATAAGGAGAAGGTGTTTCTCCTATTATTCAGAATGCCACTCTAAAATATCTGCTGTGGAATTTCTTATAAAGCGTTTGCTTTAATTTGATTAGACAAGTTTTTTTCCATATTGATATAGGTAATTATTGGAGGATGATTATTTGTAATAAAGAGCAATGGAATGGTCTCAAGGAAACTGGAGTTTATGGGAATTTAGTGAAAAATCTCTTATCCACTAGTTACCCAGAAGGATTTGGATTGGAGCCCAAGCCTAGAATGTCTACTTATCATCAAGTCTTCCTTTCCCCAAATGAAGATGTGAAAGAAAAAAAAGAAGATTTGCCAAGTTTGAGTGATGGTACATTTTATTTGTCATTGTGTGTGTGTGTGTGTGTGTGTGAGAGAGAGAGAGAGAGAGAGAGAGAGGTGGTGACTGGATAGTGGTACCTGCTAGGGTTGCATTCTTCAGTTTGTCCTTCCCAAAATAAGAAAGCAGATACTATTAAGGACATTTTCAAAAAGCCAGAAGACTTACGAATTCCCAGAGTAATCATGTATTAGTATATAGCAAGGCAAGCTGGTAGAAAGTAATACTGGATTGGTCTTTGTATATTAGAAATGAAATGGAAAGGAATGAATGGATGGATAGGTGAAGAGAAAGCTCTGTGGGACTTGGTTTGACTAGAAGCTTAATCCCAGGATACTCTACTGTAAATTAAAACTGTCATGCCCCATCTCACCTAATTTAGTTCAAGTCATTACCTAGTTGCTGCTCAGCTTCATTCCCTAGTAAATGAGAAGGGATTAAATAAACCCATTACCATCTATAAGACTTTTCGCTTAATAGAGTTTATTCTTGAATTTACTAATCTCAAATCAAGTTAAAGGGATTAGCAGTTATTTTTCTAGCAGCCCGTTCTATGTGTTTGAGAGATTATGCTCTCCCTTGGTCCAGGAAGCAGAAGCTCTGCCACTCCTTCTGCCAGTCTGGTTTGCAGACTGTTCCACTTACCTGGTGATATGTTGTGAAACAAGATTGTACACACAACCAGGTGCAGTGGCTTATGTACCCCAGCACTTTGGGAGGCCAAGGCAGGTGGATTACCTAAGGTCAGGAGTTCAAGCCAGCCTGGCCAACATGCTGAAACCTTGTCACTACTAAAAATACAAAAATATTAGCTGGGCATAGTGGTGGGCACCTGCAATCCCAACTACGCGGGAGGCTGAGGCAGAAGAATCACTTGAACCTGGGAGGCGGAGGTTGCAGTGAGCCAAGATCATGCCACTGTACTCCAGCCTAGGCAACAAGAGTGAAACTTCATCTCAAAAATAAAAGATTGTACACACAGGGCCTCTGTGTTCTGTCAGGTAGCTGCGAAGCTCAAAAATCTCGTGACTTTAAAGTTTATTGGACATGGTGTCAATTACAACATGGATGTACACACTTTGGGACTTGGCTGGTAGAGCTGGGCTGGGCACTGTCCATTCCCTTAGGGTGAGAGAAACAGTCTCCAGGGGCTCATTGGTCCAAGATCAGAAGAAATTTAGGCGTGGTTCAGGGTATTACAGATGTGGGGCACAGCAGACACAGTTGGCTTGTTAGATCTGCTTATACCTGAAGAATTTCAGGGGACTGAAATGGGTGGGTAGTGAGAAGCAAGGTCCAGGAAAGAGGACTGGTTGTTTCCTGAGCTCTGAGCCACAGGATAGCTTTGAGCTTGGTGTCCATTCCCCTGAGTGGTCAACATGTAAGGGAAGGTTGGAAGGAGCTGTTTGAGTGGAGCTATTTGACTACCTAGAGCTCACACAAGGTGCTCCTCTGGTATCCAACAGAATTACAGGGTGGGGAGTGGGGGTCTCTGAACTCATAAATGATATTTCCCAGTCCTAGACATGTGAGGCAGGCAGAAATTGGTGACAGGCAGGTGGAGGTGGAGGAAGGCCAGCTTACGTGGGTGTTGGTAGCGTTGTTGTCAGGCTTGTGGCTCTCCATACTGATTGCTTCTGGCTGAAGCTTGCAAAGCTGGGGTGATGTTCAAGACCTTAAGAGAGAAGGGTGTGGGTAAAACCACTCATGACACACCATCTTCCAGCCCTCTCTGGGAGGTCACTGAGGCCATCCTGAGTGTGCCATGTGCTCTCTCTGCTAGTCCAACACAACATCCAGAAGACAGTGCAGACTCTCTGGCAGCAGCTGGTGGCACAGAGGCAGCAGACCCTGGAGGATGCCTTCAAGATTGATCTATCTGTGAAATCTGGAGAGAGGGAAGTGAAGATTGAAGAGGTCACACCGCTCTGGGAGGAGACGATGCTCAAGGCCTGGCAGCATTACTTAGGTCTCTATCCACTCGGCCCAAGGGAATGGGAACTCCTGGGTCTCACAGAGCCAAATTCCCCCAAGGTTCTACTCAGGGCCCAGAGCCTTTTCCACCTAGACCCTCTGTCTCATCCCTTAAGTGGATAGGATTTCTATCATTGAAATCTTATGTATCTTTCCTTACAAAGAATGAATATCACATGGCACCTTAGGTGAAAGCAAGGCCAGAGGGGCCAACCAAGCAAGAAGATTCCAGCAATTTCTTAGAGGAAGAGGCCCATGTGGAGGCTGTGGCCTGGGCTCAGGAACTTGAGGTTCTATGTCCTACTCTGATATCCACCTACCAGCTTTGAAACCTTTCACTAAGTCATGCAATTACCTTGAGCTTAGGTTCCTCATGTCCTGTCACTTCATGAAGTGAAAGTTTTCATCCCCAAAATATTAATGTCTCTTGCATTCTGTTAGTGACCTCAACATTTTTACCATATTAATATTTGGTACTAATAAACAACATTTTTGCATATTAGTCAACGCAGCTGCAAGAATGAAGTTTTAATTTTGTTTTCAAGGTGATCACTGTTTTCAACTTACACTTCCTATACTTGTACATCTTCCAGAATCACAAAATTTGCAGTGATTCAGGAGTTAGTTATTTCCATGTGTATTGTCCCAGACTGTCCAGTGGTCCAGAATCTCCTTCTAATTGGCTTTCTAAATTAGTCCTGGCAGATGTGTACATACATACCTGGTTTTGTCCATTTATGCTGCCATAACAAAATACCACAGACTGAGTGATTTACAAATAATAGAAAATTATTTGCTCAGTTCTGGAGGCTGGGAAGTTCAAGATCAAGGTGCCAGTAGATCTGATGTCTGCAGGGGGCTATGTCTGGCATCTGCTTCTAAGATGGTACCTTGTTGCTGTATCCTCTGGAAGGGAGAAATGCTGTGTCCTCCCATGTTGGAACAGACAGAAGGGCAAAAATGGCCTGGGATGGTCCCCTTCAGCCCTTTTATAAGACACTAATTCATTCATGAGGGTAGAACCCTCATATTTTAATTACCTCCCAAAAGGTCGCACTTCTTAGTACCACCACAATTGGGATTACATTTCAACATGAATTATGGAGGGAACACACATTCAAACAATAGCAATACCTATCTACTTTCATGTACTTTTAAAGTCAAAATGGTCAGATTCTATTTCAGAGAAGAGTAAAATAAAATAGGATATACATATCCATGCACATACAGTGGAATAAAGTAGTAAAACTGTAAAGCTTACAAATGACTCTCTTTTTGCTAACAATCCTATATTGAACACTTTCCATGTTCCAGGGTCTTTAAACACATATCTTATATAATTTTCATGATGCCTCAATTAGTTTAGATATTGTTATCCCGGTTGCACAGGATGAGAAAACTGAGGCTCAGCAACTTTAGTTAACCTGCTCAACATCTCACTGTGGGTCAACAAGCTGTGGAGCTAGGAGTTGAGGCTAAGTCTGGTGACCTCAAGGCCCACAGTGTTTCTTAGCCAAAGGAAAGTCAGAAGACGGCAGTGTGAGCTTGTAACCTGGGTTGTTTCTGTTTTTGGAGGCAACCACAGGGGGCTCATGCCCCTGGTTGGCCCTTTGAAAGCCAAGCTAGCTATGAAAAATAGTGTGTGCTCTCACTTCACCTCTGACATTCTTTGCTTCCCTGCCCTCAGCATCTGAGAAGAAGTCACTGGCAAGTCGTTCAAATGTTGCACACCACAGCAAAGTCACTTTGTGGAGCGGAAGCCTGTACTCAGCCATGAAGCTGATGCCCGGGCGGCAGGCCAAGGACCCTGAGTGCAAGACAGAGGTGAGCCCAGACCCCTTTTCCTTAGAAAAGTATCAGGCATTTGCTTCAAACCCCACGAGTCGTATCTCCTCTCCGCTGCCTGTTACTAGACATGATCTAACTCCATGTCCTTGTGAGCATTTGAGGGTATGCATGTAGCTCCCCAGTTGAGGCCAGGTTTAGGCTGTATTAGGCTGGCTCCTTGTTCCCATTCTCAACTGGAGTCAGACATATTCAGAGGGCACTAGCCCACCACTCAGCAGCAGCTAGGGGTGTGAGCCCAGCAGAGGTGAACAGAAACATTCACTTCATTGCCAGGAGACACAGGGATGGGCCACTTTGACTGCGTTGGGTGGGCCCTCTTTACTGTGTGGGGCAGACCTGTTCGGGTTTTCTGATCAATTTCTCAAAACTGCAAAACAAGTCTTCCTAAAACTCATTGGCTCCAACAAGGTTTGTGTGTGTGTGTGTGTGTGTGTGTGTGTGTGTGTGTGTGTGTTTATATGTGTGTGTGTGTGAGATCAGGAACATTGTTGTAAGGTATTTGGAGTACAGTGGGTAGGGGAACAGGTTATCTCTGCCCCACAGTGTCTGGGGCCTCAGCTGGGATCATTGGAAGGCTGAGTTACTCATATATCTGGTGGTTGCTGCTGGCTTTAGTCTGAGATCTTAACAGGGGCTATTGGCTGGAACACCTACACATGGCCTCCTCATGTGAACTGGGCTTCCTTACAGCATGGTAGCAGGGTTTCAAAGGATAATGGAGAGAGAGAGCTCACCAGGCAGAAACTGCATTACCTTTTATGACCTAGCTTCAGGAGCTATGCAGTGTCACCTCCAACAAGATGGGCAAAAAATTCTGCCTAAGTCCAAGGGAAGGGAAATAGACCACCTTCTCATGGGGGAGTGATGAGGTTCTGCAGGAACATGTGGGACTGGAATTGTTGCTGAGGCTCTTTTAGAAATGCATGATCTGTGATATATTCTAATACCAGTGATATATTATAATGCCAGGGGCACTGACTTCTTCAGAGGTGGACTGTGGTTGTTGCTAAACATGGCTGTAGGGTCAGGAGACTTTGAGCAGTTTATTTAACTCCCCAGTGGGATAAATAACTGTGGGAACCCAGGAAAGTTCCCCGGGAAGTTAAAGTAGACAGCTGACAGACACATTAACATAATCCCAGCTCTTGGCCCATGAACTTTGGGAAATGAGGTGGAGCCCAAATCCCACCAGCTCATAATCTGTAACTGCCTGTAAGTGCCCAGGCAGATGAGGAAAAGGGCTTTCTTTTTCCAGCCTTTGGGAATCATAGGCTTCAGGGCCTGGAAAGAGTCCAGACATAGAAGGGAAGTCCAGAAATGAATGGCTGGCTGACCAGCTACCTGATGCTAAGAACTAAGGGCAAAGCACACGTCTTATTCAGGCTGTATTCTAAGGAAATTGACTTGTTAAAGGCACTGTTTGGTAAGTTCATTGATAGACTCACTGATTGAATACATTAATGTGTGAGTAACTCACTCAGATTTTATAATAGCTGCATCAGACAGGTATTATAGACTTGTTGATAAAGATGTGGAAGCTGAACCTGAAAAAAAAAAAAAAAAAAGAAAGTTAAGGACTTTTCAGCCATTAAATGTCAGAGAAGATGGGATCCCATCTTTGTGCTGCTGAGGAGGACCTTAGGGAATTTATGGAACCTCTCAGAGCTTTCATTCCTGAACTTACAACTGGGAATATGCTCTGTTTATAGTAGAGCATGTGGAGCCCTGGGAAACTGTAAATGATTTAGAAATAGGAGACTGTTTACAAATTCCATTTGGCCTTCTAACTCTCTCTGCCAAGGTCAAGATCATCCTATAGGTGATATGTGTACCAAGCCCTAAAACTTGGAGCACTCCCACTTGTGCCCAGGTACCTGCTCCTGACCAATGTCACTTGAGACAGAAGGGGCCCAGCCCCTCTTTCCTTGGCTTCATCCTGGAGCTTCTCTTCCTTGACCAGTGTCCCCAGGAGGTCAGGGCAGCCTGGCTGGGAGCTAGGGAAGAGATGTTAGGGTGCTGGGCATGGGTATTCATCTCATCACCTCACACCTATTGATGCTGCCTCTTGCCAGTGCCCCTCTCCCTTCCCCTCTAGTCACTGTCATTGACACAGGTCAGCTGCCTCCAAGTCCTGGGGACATGCGTTGAGCAACAGCTCATATGAAAGAAGCCTGAGTAGACCGCCACGTTTGGGGCCACATAGGTGTCCCAAGTGGCTTTTAACAGTTTGCTCTTGGCTCACATTGAGAGATCTGGGAGAAAGAATATCCAAAGCCAGCTCTGTCTTGGGTGAGGGCAGGCTGTTGAAGATTTTGTCTTCTACATGCATTGAGGTCTTATTCATTTGTTCATTCAACAAATATTTATTGAGCACTTACTCTGCACCCTGCTCTCAACATTGAGGTTACAGCAGAGAACAAAGCTGACATATTCTCTTCTCTCAAGGAGCTGCAGTCTAAGGAGTAAAGATAGACAATAAGCAAATACATTTGTAAATATTGGGAGAACTAATGGCAATGAGGAAAAACCATGCAGGGTAAGGCAGGGAGGGTGGCAAGAGATAGGCTGGGCTGTTTAGATAGAGAAGGTCAGCAAAGCCATCTTTGGCAAGGATGCGTTGGAGCAGAGGAGAGAATTTATGAATAACATGAGCTCTGAGATGCTCTGGGAAAGAGGATCAGACAGAGAGGACAGTTGGGCAATGGCACTGAGGTATTGGTGTGCTGGGCAGCAAAGGTCAGTGTGACTGGACTGAAGTAGAGGGATTCACCCGGAGCCACCCCAGCTTCCAGGCAGCCATGGGGAATGTCTCCCTCACCGTTTAGCACCAGGAAGAACTACTTTCAGCAACTCAAGAAGAGCAGAAATTTTGCAACAGATTATGTTTCTGTCTTTGATCTGGACACTCAGAAATTCAGAGAGATAAGCATGGTTCAGCTTTTGTAATTGCACACAACTAGTGGGATAAATTTTTGAGCCACCTATGCATGTAAATGTGTACATACATACCTTCTCCCTGGCTTCGTTCTCCATTGACCCCCACTTTCCCTTCAGTTTGATTTATTCTTTGTACACTTTAAATTATCTTGTAGATATTAAAAGACAAATTATTTTTGAAACAAAAAGAACTGTGTTTTAATCTTTAAAATTAACTGCATCTTTGCTTAGCAACATCTTGTACTGGTAACTCAGTCTTGGATGGGCACAGTGCCTGCTACATGATAGGCCCTTAAAGAATGCAGATGGAAGTGCTTAGAGCAAAGGAGTAGACGCTCCCCCTCCTTTTGCTGAGATGAAACTCACCAGCTTTCAGACACTGCATCCATCACTCAACTCCGTGAGATGTCTTTGTCGCTAACAGAAGGCACAACTTCTCAGGTACATATGTACACTGTGATGTCATAGGATAAGAGCATCAACTATTTGCCCTGGGGTCTGTTTAATTATTTTTAAAAATTAATTTTGATTATTACAGCTGATTACACCTCAGTGAGCAATGTAATTGATATTTTCTAATGTATCCCAAGGAACATTTTGTACAACATGCTTTTTGTTGTTGAAGGTTAAAGACTCCGTTATTGGTTTTTCCCTAAATATACCCACATCATTAGTCCCTCCAGTGAGAAGGTCGCCATCTGGAAAAAGCAGCACGGAGACATTATTCAGGCACAAGTGCATGAAATTGGGGTTTCTGCATCTTCTGTCTCTCTTCTGGGAAGAAGAGGCTTGTAATTAAAGGAGTTGGTATTGGAGGAAACATTATTCATTTGGTGTTATTCCTTATCATGTCAGCAGCTGACAACCCTATAGCACTGATAAATTGTTCCTTGGAGTGAGACATATGATACAGAATTCTTAATTCCTCTTACCTATCTTCATTTTTAATAGAAAATGTTTTATTCCTGGTGGGTGAGCTGAACTTTGAGGCAGGGTTGATTTGATAGATGTTATTTCTTCTTCTTCTCCCCCTGACCCCATCACAGTCCCTTGTGGGAGCAAATTGTGACATCACCCACCATCCCTAGAAGGCTGCGGGTGTCAGCTTGTTGGACAGAGGTTGGGAACTTGGACTCCCTTGAGGCCACCAAAGGGCAACTCAGGCCACTTTCTCATGTCCACCGTCTGCCTGGGGAATCCAGACTACGCAGGCTGGCCAGCTCCCCTCTTCACAGCTTTGGACTCAGCTTTGATTACCTATTCAATTCCAGACTTCCTTGTTTAAAAACAAGCTGAAAAGACATCAACAACCAATGTTGGTTTCTTAGTTTTGACAGGTACACCATGGCAATGTGGGATGTTAATAACTTTATGGGAAAACAGCTGAAAGGTAGATGAAAACTCTCTACTATCTTTGTAACTTTTATGAAAATTGAAAATATTCCAAAATACAATGTGTGTCATCATCTGTTTATATAAAAGCATTAGTAATCAGAAAATGTGCACAGGAGTCAGGGGGCTAGAAGCTGGTTAGGAAGGGGCCATGGAGGAGGTGACGCCTAGACCTGAGTCTGGGAGGAGCAGCGGGGTCAAAGCCTGTGCAGAGGAGAGCTCTCGGGCAGGGAGAAGGCCAGAGGCATGACAGGTGGTAAGAAAGGGGCCAAGGCAGTGGGTAAAAGCCAGGTCAGGGGGCACCACCGGCCAGCCTAGACACTCACATTTACTTGTAGGTGGGAGGTTAAAGAGAGGCATGGCATCTGCTCCTATAGGTGAGATTACAGGTGAGGGCCCCTAGTGGGGAGCCGAACTGGGGGTGGCGGGGGGCTATAGGGTGATTCAGGTGGGAGATAGTGGGGGCTGCAGTAGCTGTAGTCAGAGTAGTGAACATCAATAACACACAGAAAATTCTGTTCAACTGAGGCTGGGACAGGTGAGAAAAGAGGGCCACCCAGGACAGGCCTGGCTCTGAGAAGAGACGGCACCTGGGGGTAGGAGGTCTGGCATTCAGATGGCTCTGTGGGATTCTGCAGAGAATGGGG